TTTCCAAAAGACTGTGTTGGAATGTTTTTTTTTTTTTTTTTTCCCACCCTAATATAACATAACGGGGTTTCTGGGACTCTTTCACGGGTGATCCTCATCCGAAAGGTGGCACTTTGTGTCACTGGGTGTTTATCGTTCGGTTTGATGTCCTGGCTGGGTAAAAGGTCAGTCAATCACTCAGTCAAGGAAATGCATTGTTATGAATATGTGTAAAACACTAAGTCAGGGAAAAGGGGGGGGGGGGGGGATAGCTGACTGGGAAGTCATTGTGTGACAGGATCCTAGAGAGATAGGAGCGGAAGTGGATCCAGAGTGAAACGAAGTGAACGTTGATCCTGAATGACAAGGAACAAAAGCTGTGAAGTTACTGTAGCAAAGCCACGCTGAAGTATAGTGAGGACAATGGAAGTGTCCTACTGACTATTGATTGTTGATTCTTGTCGCTTATGTGGCATTGTAAATAAACATGGAACGACAGTAATCCTCGTCGACTGTCGACCCTTGGAGAGATGTAGCAGTTTGTTGAAAGAGAAGTCTGCCTCGTCTAACCTGTGAGTCTGACCCCTAGACAATAGCCCGTGTCGACTGTGTACGAGCGAGAGCTAGTACAAAAGAGGGACACATTACAATATATGTCACATCCCACTGTCTTGAATGCTGTCAGTCATTACTTATTTAGATTTTGTTAAATACTATGATGCTAAACTGTTCAACACCCTTTCTCTTAGTCTTCATCTGCCTCTCTTCTCCCCCAGCTTGTCACTATGTACATCATGTCTCCCTGCTCAGGATGTCTCCGCGAATGATTGATTAGTGAACCGTTATTTAAGCTGCAGTGGCATGCTTATTCGAGGATGACGTAAATAGAAAGGACTGCAGTAAAGCTGATATCAAAAAGTACTTAATACAACTGTGACTGAGGTTTGAGGTTTGAACAACGGATCAACATCATGGCACACCGGTTGTACAACCCATAAATGTACATCATGTCTCCCTGCTCAGGATGTCTCCACGAATTATTGATTAGTGAACCGTTATTTAAGCTGCAGTGGCATGCTTATTCGAGGATGACGTAAATAGAAAGGACTGCAGTAAAGCTGATATCAAAAAGTACTTAATACAACTGTGACTGAGGTTTGAGGTTTGAACAACGGATCAACATCATGGCACACCGGTTGTATAACCCATAAATGTACATCATGTCTCCCTGCTCAGGATGTCTCCACGCATTATTGATTAGTGAACCGTTACTTAAGCTGCAGTGGCATGCTTATTCGAGGATGACGTAAATAGAAAGGACTGCAGTAAAGCTGATATCAAAAAGTACTTAATACAACTGTGACTGAGGTTTGAGGTTTGAACAACGGATCAACATCATGGCACACCGGTTGTATAACCCATAAATGCTCCGTTCTTCTTCTAACCCAAAGAGTCCGAAGAAGCTTAGCACAGTACACAGGCTCTATGGCACCGGCGAGGATCCTGAAATACTTTGGGTAGATTTTTCACTCCACCTTTTGCCCTGGTAGCGCCGTTAGGCTACTCTTTTCGATTTCCAACTGCCAAGGGATTTTTTTTTTTTTACGAGCGCATCAATGCACACGGGCGTCCGATCTCACCACCCAGAGACTGGGGGAATTACTATAAGTCCAAGTCCACGTGATCAAATTTCAACCCTTAGGGGGGATTGAACTCGGACTGTAACTAGAAGGTTCAACGGACGAAATTGAAAAGACGTCCATAAATTCAAAGGAACGTTTCTTGTCCGTTAGGTCCCCCCCCCCCCCCCCGTACCAGTTTTGTGTTGTATTCGATACTCCGCTGATACTTTGGTCGAAAGGTTCGGTTGACAATGTCCCAACCGATTGACCTTTGGTCTATGAACAGAGAGCCCTAACATCATATACCGCGTGTGTCACTGATGTTATAGTGTCCTTTTTTTAAAACCTTACTATGGTTGGGTCATCATTCTTCGCCTTTAAGAGTGCTGTTGGCACGATGTTTTGAGGTTTACAAATAGGTTGTGATATTTATTCCTTTCGGCCCAATCATATCCGGTCTTTAAATATGTCCTAACGGCTCAACGCGGTTTCTGGGACCTCTCCACGGGTGATGTTCATCCGCATGATGCCACTTTGTGTCACCGGGTGTTTATCAAATTTTAGCAAATCCATAATAAGCCGCCTTTTACGGCATGCTTGTTAACGGGCTGTGGGTCCAACACCCCCCCTCCCCCCGCCCCTTTCAAATTGGTTGGGAACTCTGACGTTATAAAGAAAAAATATTGTGGCTGCTTGATCTAGCATGGGAATGTCCAGTGTACCGTGTTGTTGATTGTACGAATGATAACATGACATAACACACGTACGTAACACCCAATAAGATGGAATTATTTCGTTGTCTAAGTTTTACATTTGTTGACTTCTGGTCCACCATCAACACAGAGTTACCTCCCCTGACAAACCCGACCGAGCTCAGATTTCGTCAGTTCAAAGACGAAATGGAGTCTTTAATTCCAGTTATAAACAAACTGCAAGATGTATTCAATACTGTTGGATCAGAAACAATACAGTTGCCACAGATAGTTGTCATAGGAAACCAGGTATAACCTTCTTAGGTTAATATTCAGTTACATTTTATTATCAGCTCAACAGTTAATAATTTATTAAATTATAATGGTTCCCCCAATCCAATGTATCAATCAGACACTGATCACCGTCGGGTTACCCGTTTCTGATATTTTAGCTTGTTTTTAAAAACTAATGATTATTTTATAAACTTTCTCCACCACAATAGAATGTCAGGTTACTTAATAAACGTTAGAACCCTCCCCCCCCCCCTTTTCCCCCAATATTATACATAAATAGTAATACTAATACGGTTGAGAGATTTGCCCCTTGTATAATTTTTGATGATTGCATCCATAAATAAGTGGCTCTTTGAGTCGCTAGAGATGATGAGACCATCTAGTAGTAGTAGTTATAACAGATGTCACCTCCCAGTGCTGCGTTTCTAGAGAGTATAACGCTAAAAAAGAAAACGTACAGTAAATTATCAAATGTTAAGTATTATTATTCTAAAATAAAATAAGTTGGAGTTTAATTCTCTCAGTCAGTTCCAAGCTCTTATGCTAGTTCTTTATAATCTAAGCAACGAGTTGTTACTTTTTAAAACAAATAAATGATTGCATCTAAAGTAGTCAAATGATAACATTGTGTCACAAAAAGAGTGAAGGTTAGTATAGGTTAATGTAACAACTTAATTGTTATAAAACCATAACATTAACATGCCAGAGTAGCCAATAAATATGTTGTGCGTTGATTGGTTCTCACTGAGTTAATATAACACTTGTATTTATTTACAGTATTTAAATCAGTCTTCAATGCTGTCTCCTTTCTGCTTGTCCATTTGGATCCTCAAACAACTGTTAAGCTGTGTTCATTGGTTGGATAGGCTGATAGATTGGCTGCTGCTACTCCTCTGAGTAGTGAGCTACTATGATAAAGTGGATGCAGTGAAGGCTGTCTGGAATCACATGGGCATTTACAGCACGCTCAGCGGGCAGAACAGTCAAAGAAGCCAACGGCGCCTTCTCCATGACAACCAGCAGCCTGACGATGGAGGTGATGGCAGTGACGCAAGCGTTTGCCTGGCTTGAAACACAAAAATACACCCGCATATGTATACTCAGTGATTCAATGAGTATGATCCGGAGGGTTCAGGCAGGTTCAGTGCGAAGACAATGGCTTGAATCAATTCAGAAGTCCACTGTGCGAGGAGTCACCTTTATTTTTGTTCCGGGATACGCAGGCGTCGATGGAAATGAAAGAGCTGACAGGTTGGCTGGATCCGCTATCACTACCGACGGTCGGCCTATGGATCATGCTGATATTATCAATGCCCTTAGAGAAATGGGAAGGATAGAGGACTTTGGTGGCAGTGAATCCACATCACTCGCCAGAATGGCAGACTTGGGAATTAAGATCGGCACAGCAAAAAACGAGACGCACACCGGACACGTCAGAAGACTTGTTAATCAACATAGAACTGGTACTATTAGCCATCGGACGTTGGGATTCATACTGAGGGGAGGATCTGAGCACCTATGGACATGTCCGGAGTGCAATGATGATAACCCAACTAACTAACTAACTAACTAACATGGGCAGTGCAGTAGAACAGACCAAGAATCCTTAAAGACTTATTTTAACTGTGTCTGAGTAGAGGTTCTGGATATATTCAATCCTGAAGGGAAACTTAGGCAGACTTGTAATCAGGTTGCAGCTAATACTATTAGCATGTTGACTCTTTGTTGATTACTGAGGAAGGAGACAGGGCAAATGCAGGAATCTCCTGAGTGCTGTGATATCAATTCTTCATTTATTCATTCATACATTGATTAATAGCTCTAAAGAATTTAATGGCTTGAGGTAATCAGCCCCACACCAGCCATGACCACTTCCTATGACAAGCATTGTATTTACTGTGGTACTATCGGCTTCTTCTCCTGGACGTTATCAGAGGCTAATCTACGTAAAGTTAACACCTATGAAATTAGATGCTTGAGGAAAGCTGGCAACTTAACCATCTGAGACATAGTTAGAAATGATACTGTCCGACAGACTGGGAACAATACCATGTACCAAATTCTTTGAGAACCAGAAGATCACATGGTTTGGTCATTTTGTTATAATGCAGCCACAATACTACCAACATGCACTACACATGAAAAGATCTGATGTAAAAGCAAGTGGTCACCCCAGGACAAATGTTTTGATGACATTAAAAACCTACATGGACACAGAATGACAACAGCCATTGCTATCCATCAATCACTGCATGACACACTGTTGCTTCCCATGCGCTTTACAGCATAGGTGAAAATTGGTGATGATGCCTCCCTTATCTTAAGGCTAGTGGGCCTGGTTTCAAAGTAATGCCAGAGCTGTAGTAGCTGAGATCAGACAGTTCTGTTTAACTACTTTGTTCTATTTCACTTCACTTCAGCCAACTCCAAGTTATCCTCTTTTGCTATCTCCAGTCACTCTTCCGTCCAAGTCTTTACCATATAGTTCACCTCATCTCTGTCTTTAGGTCTCTTAATGGTTTTTAAATAAAAATTTCATTCAGTATTCCTGTGTGCTGCAGGGAAGACACTAGTTATACTTTAGGGTTTTCTCAATGTGTGTCCTATCCAGTACTGGTATCTTTTTCTCACCTCATGATTCACTGAAATTTGTCTACTTCTCTCCATAAGCACCACATTAGTGATTCTGTGTCACCATTTACATTTTTCTTGTTTGTGCAAGCATCTTTTAATAAATGATTGGAACTTATTATTAATATTATTATAGTCATTCTGTCTGTTTTTAATCAGTAAAGGTAATCAGTACACAACATTATAATTTGACATCTAAATATTCTAAAATTTTCTAGTACTCACATGGAATTGTTTGCTTTTTGTATCTCTAATTCCCCCATCCTTTTTTTAATTTAGAAAACAAACTTTCCAACTGTAGTAGAGTATTCTGGTACCCAAATTATTAGAATTGGTAAGCTCCAGAACAGTAATAGTTTAAAAAAACAAATTGAAATCTAGAAAACACAAAGTAATATTTGGAAAAACATAAAGTTGTTGAGTTCACATATATTAGGAAGTCAAGATTGTGACCCAGGAATCCTGGCAGTGAAATGGTCAAGCTGTTTGCCGTCTGCTGTGAGGATCATGGGTTCATTTCACAACTGCATCATTAAGTTCATAACTAAAGTTTTTACAGAGATCCCTGGATTTGCCCTGCCACTTGAGCTGTTGAGTTTATGCTGTTTGGGAGTCTCTTGGCAGGCGGCTAAATCATTTTACAGAAAGAAACAGAGCCATACGGGATAAAGCCCAGTGTGTTAAAGTTGATCCACTCTTTAAAAATATGTTTTCAAACTTTTGTACTGTTGATATTTTGTTTAGAGTTCTGGTAAAAGCTCAGTGATTGAAACTCTTGTTGGCCAAGACTTTCTTCCGAGAGGTACAGGGATTGTCACTCGCAGACCATTAGTTCTTCAGCTTCTTCATGTCTCCAAGAACAGTTCACGGCCAGATGAAGAGCGTAAGTAATTTATGTTGTCAAATAAGCTGTTGAATATATTATTAGTAAAAGGAATCTACAGACTGAGAAAGTCTTTCATTTATACAGCTCAACATAATTCTGATCAGAATGCTGTTTTATTCAAATTGAAGTCTTCTGAAGCATTAAATTAGGTGCTTTGTTGACACCATGTTAACATTTGTGTTTGTCTGATTCTGCAGAGACAGTTGCTGCAGAAGAGTGGGCCAAGTTTCTACACACCAAAAACAAAATATACACAGATTTCAAGGAGGTTCGCAGAGAAATTGAAAATGAGACAGATCGCATGTCTGGGACTAACAAGGTAAGTTGGCTGGCTATGTTTGTCATAAAATCAGCTTGAACAAGAAGCAGATCTAGTTAGCTTTCCAGTAACACACAATCACAGATGACAGAATGAACCATGGGGTCTACCTTCATCAGTGAACAGCAACACAGTTATCGATACAGTTACATAACATACTGTATATTTTCTTCTGTATTAACCCTTAAAAGAAAAGGGTCACTCACACAATGGGTTGTGGTTTACAGCTAGGCTGCTATATCTCCAATTCCAATGGTACCAGTGTTAGTAGAATTATGTCTTGCCTTTCCTGTGCGTGTGGAGGGTCAATCAGATCCCATGGTCACTTTCCATTCCACGATTCAGATTTACGATGTCAATCCAAGCAGAGCTGGTATAAGTTTGGTGTTGCTCAGATTTACAATGTCAATCCAAGCAGAGCTGGTATGAGTTGTGGTGTTGCTCAGATTTACGATGTCAATTCAAGCAAAGCTGGTATGAGTTGTGGTGTTGCTCAGATTTACGATGTCAATTCAAGCAGAGCTGGTATGAGTTGTGTTGTTGCTCAGATTTACAATGTCAATTCAAGCAGAGCTGGTATGAGTTGTGGTGTTGCTCAGATTTACGATGTCAATTCAAGCAGAGCTGGTATGAGTTGTGGTGTTGCTCAGATTTACGATGTCAATTCAAGCAGAGCTTGTATGAGTTGTGGTGTTGCTCAGATTTACAATGTCAATTCAAGCAGAGCTGGTATGAGTTGTGGTGTTGCTCAGATTTACGATGTCAATTCAAGCAGAGCTGGTATGAGTTGTGGTGTTGCTCAGATTTACAATGTCAATTCAAGCAGAGCTGGTATGAGTTGTGGTGTTGCTCAGATTTACGATGTCAATTCAAGCAGAGCTGGTATGAGTTGTGGTGTTGCTCAGATTTACAATGTCAATTCAAGCAGAGCTGGTATGAGTTGTGGTGTTGCTCAGATTTACAATGTCAATTCAAGCAGAGCTGGTATGAGTAATGGTGTTGACTGCTTGGATTTTTATAGAAGAAAAGACTTGTATGTTACCTGCTTCTACTGGAGTTGTAATTTTTAGCCTGTGGACTTCTTAAACCATGGTTTAAATAAATAAAAAGAACTGGTTCTTTCTTATAGTTTATATTGTGTTCCACTTTTATTTACCAACTTTCCGCACATGGATTCTGGGGCCCCATCCTGGGCAAAATAAGAATAAACCCGATTGCCTCCTTAACAAGTATGTCTTAAGAGCCAACTAATTGGGGGCTTCCTTTGAAGTCAGAATGCATCTGCCTAAAAGGCAAGGAAACAAATAAGTCAGATCTGTGAAGCAGATGTGTACACAACACCCAGGTTCTGGAACAAGACGAAAGTCCAGAGACGAACAAACAACCCGTACATTCTTCTGGAGTTTACAACCAGTGAACGTGAAGAAGAAAAGAAATACCTACTTCTAAATATTCTCCCCACTCACCTCTGTAAGATAAAATAAATAGTCTCCTACAGTGTTATCTGTCTATGATTTATGCACGCTATAATTAGGAAATTACTGTCCTAGGACAAGGAAATGCAACCTAAAAACTTAACACTACAGACTCTTAGGCTTGGTTGACAGCTGGTTTAGAGGGAGACTCTGAGAGGCAGATCACTGCTGGTCTGATCTGGCAGCTTCTGCAGCCAGATCATATTTTGGTCCAAATTTATTGGAGTTAACAAAGCAGTCTGAGAGAGGGACTATGTTGAATGAGTAACACATGGTTTTAACAAAACTATGAACAGTGATCCCCATGCCTCCCTAAATAGAATAACGGAACACTTTTGATTGGAAAGTTGCCAGTGACATTACGTTTAGCTGCCAATGGGAAATTCTTTTCTGTGGCTTCTCCTGCATTTTGTTTTTGTTAAAGCGTTAATAAGAATATATTTACATGCACGTCTCCTTGTCAGTAACAGACATTAGAAATTGCTCTTTAGTAATTAATTTTTATTTTTCCAATAGGGCATCTGCTCAGAACCAATTGTGCTGAAGATCTACTCCAATAAGGTCGTGAACTTGACCCTTGTTGACCTTCCAGGCTTGACCAAAGTCCCTGTCGGTGATCAGCCACCAGACATTGAGCTTCAAATCCGGGATTTATGCATCCATTACATCTCCAACCCAAATTCAGTGATTCTGGCTGTCACCGCTGGAAATACAGACTTTGCCACATCAGAGGCTATCAAACTGGCACGGGAGTATGATCCTGATGGTAATTATTTGGTTGTGAAAGCTTTGTGAATATTGGTTGCTTTCTAAATACTTTAGCAGAATTGAGGTCTGATCCATTTGTATTAATTTTGTTTTGAACCCTTTCTTTTGACCTTGTACTGAAGTAGTGACTCCACAGTGGCTGTATTATACTCTACTCTATCGAAATAAAAACAAAAACTGCGTGTGCTTGACTGATACTGGACCTTTATGTAGAGCAGAGCTTTCCAAACTTTTCATGGTGGTAACACTTGTCAGACAAACATAATTTTGCAACACAGTAATTCAGTCTAGTAGCACCCCAAAGATTTGTGACACATTCATAAATTGTGTTCATGCTACTAAACACTTTCACACTCCAGTGAACACACTGGTGTGTTAAATCATAAAATTTGGAAAACTCTCATGTAGAATGAAATTAGGATCTCACCAGGCCATGATTCAGGCAGTGCATGCAAACTTGATAAATTAGACCTTTGTTGGTGGTGTTTACTCCCTGGTTTTTGGTGTGTTGCATAATCAGACAGACTCCCTCCCAGGTATACATTTCTAAAAAGAATCTTGGCCTGTTCAGCAATGGGATTTATTTCATCAAGTTAAGAACTGATTGCCCACATCAGAAGGAGACGGTCGACGTTCTTTGGTTGTGTCATGAGAAGGAGAAAACGGGGGTACATTGTGATAATGGGAAAGTTTATAGAAGAAAAGAGGCAGAAGGAGACTGAGAAAGAAGATGCTGGAGAGTTTGACTTCATGGCATGGAGGATAATCTGTGTCAGAGTTGATTGTAAGTGCACAAGACAGACGGTTGTAGAAATACATGACTACCAGTGCCACAAGGCGTGGACTATAAGAAAGCAGGCCACATTTCTCTTGAACAGATAATTATTTAACCTTGCTGTTAATGTATGGAAAGCAAGGGGTAATTACAACATTATTATCCCAAGAAACTCCTGATGAAAGCCAAAAATGAAACTAAAATATTTGACAAAGAGGATGGGAAATGCAATTGAACAGAGATTTAATAAAGTCATCTGGCCTCAGCAAAATGATACTACAGAGTTCTGTAAAGGGGAAGAGAAGAAGAGGCAGACCAAGAAAAACTTGGATAAAAAATTTGGCTGGCTGAGCGGGCCTCGAATGTGTAAACATTTAAAAGTCCGGTAGATATGACTGGCAGAGGTGGAGCTATCTGATTGGACAGTCAACAGCAACTGGTGATCAATATGCAGGATTTATGAGACTGTGAGGATGATGACTGAAATGGTTGTCAAATGAATGTTGTAGACACACTGTACTTTGCTAGATTGGGGCTCTTATTGAGATTCATGACCTGGTCTGTATCTTTTAGGTCGCCGCACTCTGGCTGTGATGACAAAATTGGACCTCATGGATGCAGGCACCGATGCCATGGATGTTTTGTGTGGCCGAGTTATCCCTGTTAAGTTAGGAATTATTGGTGTGGTCAATCGTAGTCAGGCTGACATAAACAACCAGAAGGTGAGTTTCAGTCTGTCTAATTAATGTTGATTCTTAACACGTGTGACTGTCTCTTCTTTAGACAGGGGAAAAGTTAACATATTCTTTAGCAGTGAGAAGGGAAACATTGGAGAACATTGTCACAAAGGGAAAGAGCAGGGGCTGAGGCAGACAGAGAATTGATGCTGGTTAGTCTCAAATGATGACATGGGGGAATGTCATCAATAGAAATGAACCGGAACATTGAGACCAAGATTGACATGAATATTTATACCACCTGGCGGGGCATGTGAAAGGGATGATAGAAGTGTAAGTAACAGATAGATCTATTTAAATGATGCGAGGAAAAAAAATACATTGCACAATTTATTTGCCAGGCATATTTCGCTGTGTCTTGTCAAGGGCATTACTACAGAGTTAAATCAAAATAAACTGAAGCACACAAAAAAAACTGAACAAATCCAAGTGAAATGCAAGTCGTTTCTTCTGATGTATCGCTGAATGTTCACTGAGAGGTGACTTACAAGGGCAACATCAGATTTACTATAAATTCTGTCTGCCCACAAAGGAGGTGTTGTTGATTTTTATTGTTAAAGCTTCGGAGATTCTCAGCAGTCGCCTGTTTGATGTGTGGTAAACCACATGGAAAGCACTGTCCTTGTTAATTACGTGTCTAGAATTAAGCAAATGACGTCATATGAAAGAAGTGGGTTCTTTTCTCTTGATTGGTCTCAACATCCTTGAAGAAGCCTGGCATATGATACAACAACATCTAGTCTGAGAATATAGGTGGAGGCAGTCACTGCAGGCTTTTGCTAGCTTGAGAACCAGCTGCACTGTCATGTCGTGACTCACAGTTACATGAAGGGTGTTATAAATCAGTCCCAACTACAGGTTGACATAGAAGGAATAGAGTTGAGAGCTTGGTGACAGATGGCCAGATTGATACAAAAGAAGCAGGAAGAAGACAGAGATAAATACCTGGATGGTTACATGGATAAGTGGGGAAAAGAGCACTGACTAGATCAGCAATTCTAGATTGTTTGGGATGGGGAACCATCACCACCGAAGATTATCAGCGCTGCACATGATGACAGTAAACTCCAAGTAGCCCACACTGAAAACCAGTCCTGGCTCCAAAAAAGACTAGATCCATTAGGTTCAATTCTCAGATCAGCGATATCACCTGGGTCTGCTAAATAGAATCATCAGCTATTTTAACATTATCTTAGTGCAAAAAATATACCCCCATAACAGTAGTTATAAAATGCAAATTACTCTTTTGTTCTGTTTCCCTAATTCTTATCATCACTATTATCAGTAAAAAGCAAAGTACAGTGACTTTATGTCCCATCCACAGGAGCTGTCTGAATCTCTGAAAGATGAAGCCACATTTTTACAGAAGAAATATCCATCCATAGCCAATCGGAATGGGACTCCCTATCTGGCGAAGACATTGAACAGGGTAAGTTTGGTTGTGGACCTATGTAAGCAGACTAAACACTTAGTTTAGTTATTGTTGTCTTTATCATGTGGCACGTAAACACATGAGGGTAACCAGACTACCTTCACAGATAAGTACCAGGATCTTCTTCTGTTCTGTGTTCTTTATCCCCCAATGAGATCGGCATCAGGTCCGACTTCTTATCCCATTATTTCACATTTGGCCAAGACATCTGGTTATTTATCTCTTTAACTTCATTTTGCTCTTTTTCCATCAAATTTAATTTTAACATGATTTTACCTATTTTAATGTCTGGCTCTTTTCCAGTCTAGAGAATGAGATTTTCAAAAAAAGTGAGTGTTAAGTACAGGGAGAAGATAAAATGAAAGACAGGAGGGAGAATGAGAAGAAATGAAAGACAAGAAGATACTGAAGGAACAAACTTTATTTTCAAAGGGTTACAAATTAGGCACGCAGGCCTGTCTTACATTCAGCCCTTCCAAACTCCCATCTTTCACACAGCAGTTGTATTTCATCAATAAAGCATATTATGTTCATGTAATAATATGAATAGTATGAATATCACGTCAAAAACAAAAGCATGGGTGGTAAAATATGTGCGCGCGCGAACACACACACAAACGCACGCGCAAACCCATTCACTGACACACACACACATAGGCATCCAATACACATCCGCATACATACGAACATGCTCACACACATACACACACAGACAGACAGACAGAAGAATTGAGTGTGGGATCTTGAGAATATTGAGACAGGAAAAAAGCATTAGAGAGACAAGTTGGCTTTCAAAGTCTGCAGTTTGGAGACATGCATTTTGCCTCTCCAAGATTTACCATATTTGTTTGCATATGTTAAGACATAAGCAATGTCTAATGTGTTCTGTTCTGTCTATACAGCTTCTGATGCACCACATCCGAGACTGTTTGCCAGAGCTGAAAACTAGAGTCAACGTCCTCATAGCACAGTTTCAATCTCTGATGAACTCATTTGGTGAACCTATCAATGACAAGGTAACATTTCAAATTAACTCTGTTCAGATCTTCTCATTCTGCTCCTCATCCTCCGCCTCATTCATCTCTTTCTTGTTATGTTCATCTTTTTTTCTTATTCTGCCAATTTAGGTGTTATACACATTGAAATCCTTGCTAGTGCTAGTTCCTGCACTGTGCTGGGAACCTCCTGTAGAGTTCTTGCACTGTGCTGGGAACTTCCTGTAGAGTTCCTGCACTGTGATGGAAACCTGTAGAGTTCCTGCACTGTGCTAGGAACCTCCTTTTGAGTTCGAACACTGAGCTGGGAACTCCTATAGAGTTCATACACTGTGCTGGAAACGTCCTGTAGAGCTCCTGCACTGTGCTGGAAACCTGTAGAGTTCATACACTGTGCTGAGAACCTCCTGCCTGTTTTATGACTGAACTGACCTAGTAGACCAGTAGAAATGCAGTCCTGCCATATGTGGGTGATTTTTTAAATAAAAACTCTTGTTTCTGATACTGTTTTAGAATGTATATGCCAGTTGTGTCAAAACTAATTAATATAAAAACTTTGTGAGGTATGTTTACTATATAGCGGCTCTGTGGCTTAGAGGTTTGCGAGTGAGTGAAGTTTTATAACCCTTGAGTACAAGAGTTCATTTCCCACAGTGGACCATTAAGAAAATACCTTTTCATAGTTTTGGACAGATAGTACGAGAGTCACACTGTGAAAGAGATTGGGGCCTCACCACATATTCCCAGAGACAAAAGTGGTACACTGTAACCAACCTTTATTTGTGGGAACAGCACAGAAATAACAGTACTGTTCTGTTCCCTGAATGGGTTCTCTAGCTTCATTTTTGAGGAATCAAATGGTGTGGTGATGTGGTGTGTGCCCTCGAACAAACATGTTGTAAAAGGTGGCTAATTAGGTGTTAAAATTACATGTGCTTGGCAGAAAGGTACAGAGATTGCAGCCTAGCTGTAAATCACAAACAACCTGCTATCTGCCCTTTTGTGGTTGAATACAGGGGAAGTAGCCAAAACTATTTGTTACATTTTTAAATGCAGTTTTTATCATTCATGCAGTTAGACATGTCTGTCCACAACCTTCTGTCTCGTATACTTTCCATAAGTTCTGACATAGACGATCTTCCATGCCATGATGTCAAACTGTCCAGTATCTTCTCTCTTAGTCTTCTTCTGCCTTTTTTCCCCTCTAACTTTCCCACCGTCACCATGTACTTCAGTTTTCTCCTTCTTTTAACACGAACAAAGAATGTACTTTGTCTCTTCCTGATGTGGACATTTAGTTCTCTTTGTATGTCACTTTTTTCCAAGACACCTTCATTGCTCTTTGTTTCTGTCTGGGGCGTTCTCATCATTTTTCTATACAACCACACTTCTGCCACGTTTTATCCAATTACTGGAAGAAATTATAATCATGTTAAAGCAAGTGTGTCTATGTTTCAGAGTCAGCTGCTGCTACAGATCATCACCAGGTTTGCCACAGCCTACTGTAGCACCATTGAAGGAACTTCCAAATTTATAGAGACATCTGAGCTGTAAGTTGTTTTCACTAGATTAGATTGAATGTCTGCTCTGCTGTGATAGTGACTGTGATAACATGACATAGTAAAGTAAAGGCTGTACAGTCACTTTCCTGGCAAAAAGTAAAAATGAAAATGAGAAACCAGTCGACAGTAGAGTATTTGTAGTATGCTTCGGAACCCTGCAGTCTGCTTCCAGATTACCCTGTACACCAGATTACATTGACAATTATTTAATATCTTCTTCTTCACGTTCACCAGCTGTAAACTCCGGTGGAAAGTTCTGGTTGTTTGTCCACTTCTGGACTGCAGTCCTGTTCCAGAACCTGAGTGCTGCGTGTGCATCTGTTTTACAGATCTGACTCATTTGTACGCAGGCTGCTGGTTCCTTGCCTCTTAGGCAGATGCACTCTGACTTCGAAGGAAGCTCCCAGTTAGTCTGCTCTTATGACATGCTTTTGGGTAGGCAGTGGGTCTATTCTTGTTTTCCCTATAATAGGGCTCTGGAACCCACACTGGGGTATTTAATATCATGTTCAAGATCTAAAGAAATGTATACACACACACCCATAAACAGAGAGGTAAATACTGCATACATACAAGAGTTGAAGGGGAGTAGGCTGTGAGACAGAACCAAGAAAATTGGGGAGAAATAATATACACATGGACCTGCAGTCACATGTGGTCACTGACCAAAAAGGCAAGAGGAGTAAAATAAAAGGGCCTGTGATGTCTACAACAGTCAACCTCAAGGTCTCAGAATGCTAAAGATGAGAGAAAGAGAGAGATTGTGTGTGTGGGCGGGAGGGGGATATGTGTGTTTGTATATATATATACACACACACACACACACAGAAATCTGTACTTACTGTTTCTTCTCTTTTACAGTTTCCATTTTTAAATTACAATTACATTTTGTTTGTATTTGTCTACTGCTGTTTTCTTGTAGTTTTTTTCTGTGAAGGCCTTCTGATTTTATTTTGTATCACTGTTTTGTTTTTGTTGTTAAGATTGTCTGTAATTCTAGTTAATGTTTGTAAAATTAAACTTGTCCCGGATTATCCCCCACAGTTGTGGCGGAGCACGCATCTGCTATATTTTCCATGAAACTTTTGGACGCACCTTGGAATCAATGGATCCCTTGGGTGGGCTGAATACTAGAGATATCCTTACAGCCATCAGGAATGCAACAGTTAAGTATTTTTTTTTAGACCAGTTCCTGTGAAGTGAGAAAAAAGTACAGGACCATATTTTCGCCAGTGGTGCGTTGTGCATATCATGCTAGACCCATATTTTAATACACCAGATAAATTCAGAAAGCAGTGGCAAACTAATGAATTTAAATTTGACTAAAAAAACCACAACAGCCAAGAAATGCTGGAGTTGGTTCTGCAAGAGTCTGTCCGTCCGCTCAAGAAAAAACAAACTCGACCACATTCAACCTGCTGTTAGCAACCGTAGCCGCAAACAGTATCTGGTTATATTTGTGGTCTAGTTTTTTTGGGCGTCACTTTCGTGACTAATAGTTCTGCTAGACATATGCGGCAAACTTTTTGTAGGAGTAATACAGAACAGCTAGCTAGATGCAGGATGCACTAATGAGAAAATAAAACCCAGATCATTTCAGCCGTTAGAACCCACTTGTACACTTCCCATTCAGAACACAGTCCCAAAGATTCAACCTCAGATAAAAGCAGCAGAGCTTTGTGTTTAGATTACAAACTGGACACAACAGATTCTGCAGCTATAGGTGGCAGAAATTCAAGATCCGGGAAACGTTGACCCTGTGGACAGGCTCTGCAGAATACTGGCTGTTTGCTGATAACATGCTCTCTACATGCGGTAGGGAGATTCCAGGTCTAGCTAGTTGGCTTTCTGGTGGAAACTAGACTGTATGGATCAAGAGGACATGCCTCACACCACAGCCTTCATAGAGGTTTGTGGGCCTACTTATCTGTGAACCACTGGCCATGAGAATGAAAGAAGGAAAATAGAACAAACTTTATTTTCAAAGGGTTGCAAATTAGGCACACAGGCCCGTCTTATATTTGGCCCTTTCTAACACCCATCTTTTACAGAGCATTTGTATTTTCAATAAATCATGTTATATTCAAATAATGATATTCATATTATGAATATCAAGCAAAAACACAAAAGCTCACATACGCACCCACAGGCAAACCCACTCACTCACACACACATATATACTCACATACATAAATACAAACACATTCACACACATACATAATGCATACATACGTACATGAAGAAGAAGAAACTAAACCAGCCTGCATTTGGTGGGTAGTGTTTTATTTCCTGGGTTTATGGTCCTTTTTTAAGTGTTTCCAGGGCAAACAGGTTAATGAATAGAAACTATTTATGGAAAAACAAAAAAACAAAAATTACGGCATCACAGTGTTTGCTTCTGTATGTAAATTATCACAATTTTGGTTTTGATATTTCTGAATTTTAATTCTGCATTGTCAGTATTTTGCCGTTGTCGAGATATTGATATTTAATCATCTACAGAGTATGTACTTGGGAAGGCTAACCTGAAAAACCATACCCAAAATAGTCGGGCATGTCTCTGACGATCGATGAAAAAGAATCAAAAGAAGAATACACGTGCTATCTTGTTTTTCCAGATGGTAGTGTTATATTGCTACTATTTACAGCCTAAGTTAATTACTCTGTATTAGTGTAGCAATTTGATAGCTAGTCATCACTTGACCTCAACATAAATTGTTTTCCTTGTTTGTTGTGTCACTAGGGACCAAGGCCTGCTTTGTTTGTACCTGAGATTTCTTTTGAGCTGTTGGTGAAGCGTCAGGTTCGCCGGCTAGAGGAGCCAAGTTTGAGGTGTGTGGAGCTGGTCCATGAGGAGATGCAACGCATGATTCAGCACTGTGGCACCCAGGTACTTGTAAGTGGGTTTGTGTGTGAGATGTGAGTATACTGCTGTAGTGTTGGTGTGCAAAGGTGTGAAATGACAATGCTGGATTCAGCATTGTGGCACCCAGATACTTGTAAGTGGGTTTGTGTGTGAGATGTGAGTATACTGCTGTGGTGTTGGTGTGCAAAGGTGTGAAATGACAACGCTGGATTCAGCACTGGGGCACTCAGGTACTTGTAAGTGGGTTTGTGTGGGAGATGTGAGTATACTGCTGTGGTGTTGGTGTGCTTCTTCTTTTTCTTCTTCTTCACTTCCTCTTTTATCGCTGTGGGTGTTGAGGGAGATATAAGGTTCTGTTTCTAGCTCTTCTGGCTGCCTCGACCATAGGCACATCGTGCTGTTGTAGAGTTTCTCTGATGTTATCCTTCCATCTTGTTCTTGGTCTGCCCCGTGCTCTACGTCCTTCTTCTCTTTCCATGTATGCTTTGTATGGTATGGTGTCACAAGGCATTCTCTCTAAGTGGGCAAACCATTTCACTTTGCTGTCTTTGTATGTAATCCAGAATTGGTTCTGTGCCGACTTGTTCTCTTATGATCTCATTCCTGATCTTACCTCTTATGGTCACTCCTACAGCCCTTCTCAGACATCTCATTTCCGTGGTTACTAATTTTCTTTTATGGTTTGTTGTGAGCGACCATGTCTGGCACTGGTAGCACAGAGTTGGAATAAATATGCTTTGAATAAGATGTCTCTTTGTGCTGATTGGGATTGTCTTATGCTGTAAGAGGGGGGCTAGCTGTCCCAATACTTAGTTTGCTTTACTGCATCTAATGTCAATTTCTTTATCCAATTTCCCATCTTCGGTAAATGTAGTTCCCAGATATTTAAACTCAGATGTCTGTTTAATGTCTTTGTATTCTATTGCTATGTTTAGATCTGTCTTCTTTTTTCCTATTGACATTACTTCTGTCTTTTCAGTGTTGATTCTCATATTATTTGTTTTACATTCTTCACTCATGGATGTTAGATGTTGTTGCAATTTCATGGCTGTATCTGCTATCAAGGACTGGTCATCTGCAAAGAGTAATTCGTTGATCTTCCATCATTTCAATAATCTCTTCTGTTTTATTTCCCAGGCCAGCGGTGTTAAGTGTTGCAATCTTGTATTTCGCTGTTCTGTCTCGTAGTCCCTTAACATTGTCATGGTCAGATACAGTTTGATCAGTCCGTTTATATCTCATTTTGATTTTTGTAGCGGTAAAAAATCCATTGCCGGCTTGCTAGGCCTGTCGCAACTTCACCAGAGCCCCGTTGGCCAGGACGTGGGTGACCTAGGGTGGCCTTCATGGCTACCGTAGCGGTCCCGTGGCACGAGGCCACACCATACTTCGCCCACACCTAGCAATCCCCTACTTTGTCCTGTTACCACCTCTTACGACGAGGACGTGAGGTTGGTCTTTGAGAGGCGTGTGCAAAGTTGTGAAATAACAATGCTGGATTCAGCACTGTGGCACCCAGGTACTTGTAAGTGGGTTTGTGTGTGAGATGTGAGTATACTACTGTGGTGTTGATGTGCAAAGGTGTGAAATGACAACGCTGGATTCAGCACTGTGGCACCCAGGTACTTGTAAGTGGGTTTGTGTATGAGATGTGAGTATACTGCTGTGGTGTTGGTGTGCAAAGGTGTGAAATGACAATGCTGGATTCAGCACTGTGGCACCCAGGTACTTGTAGGTGGGTTTGTGTGTGAGATGTGAGTATACTGCTGTGGTGTTGGGGTGCATAGGCGTGAAATGACAAAGCTGGATTCAGTGGCAATTAGTACCATCTGTTCCAGGACAGGAAGTTGTGATTTTTATCTTAAACTCTTTTTCTTTTTCTTCTCCTTCTTCTTCATGTTCACTGGATATAAACTCTGGCAGAAAGTTCTGGCTGTTCATCCACTTCTGGACTTTGGTTGTGTACCAGAACTTAAGTTTTACGTGCTAATTGGTTTTACAGATCTGATTATTTGTTTGCTGTCTGACTTTTAAGGAAACATCCCTAATTAGTCACCTTCTATGACATGCTTGTTAGGTGTAGTTGGTCTCTTTCCCCACCCCCTGCCCCCACCCCCTCGAAATGTGGCCCCAGAACCCACATCGGGGTAACATCTGTTCTAAATAGTGTGTACTTTAAATGAATAATCTCTTTGGTTTGAATGTGTCGGAATAATAACTGATTAAAAAATAGTTGCAAAGTAATAACCGACATAAATTCATGATGATGTTCCATGGTTTCCTGGCAAGTGGCAATTGTGATTATATGTCCCCTTCCGTATGCACACACAGCACCCCACGCCCCTTTCTCTATATAGTTATGTTTATGGTGATGATCATTATCATTATGTGCAGTGCTGGTATGCATAGGCTGCCGTGTTTTGCTATCTCACACGATCGTCAGAATCACGGATCACTTCAATGTTTTAGTCTCGACCGTCCGGCAAGGCCATCCAGGTATTTATCTTTTTTCCCTCCTTTTGCTCTTTCTCCATCAGTTTTGCTAGTTGTTACTAATTTCATGAATCCATTTATTCTTATAATATGTTCTTCTTAAAGTCCATGCAGTGTGGCATTAGTAGCATGTAGATTGTCTCTTTCTGATGTGGGCAATCAGTTCTCTTTGTGAGTCAGTTTCTTTCAGGACGTCTTCATTACTCTTTTTATCTGTCCAGGATATTCTCATCATTCATCTATAAAACCACATCTCTGCAGCTTCCAAATAAGTTTTCACTAATTTACTAACTATCCATGATTCACATCCATATATCAATATAGGATTTATTTAGCGTTTAAAAATTCTCTTTCTTGTCTCAATTGACTGAATATTGAAATATAAATTGACTGAATATATAAAAGAATGAATATTCTTCATTTTGTACAATGCTGCCTTTGCTTGAGCTATTTATTCAACATTTAACTTCCTTAATACATCTTCCATCTGATGTCATCAGGGCCAAAGTACTTAAATTTATCAGCTTGCTTGAGGTTTGTCCTATTTACTTTGATGTTGCATTTTGGAGAGTCAGTTTTCTTTGTAATTATGATTACTTCTGTTTATCTACTGTTCAAACTAAGACCCTTGTTTTTACTTTCCATTATAATTATATCCGTCATTTCTTGCAGCTCTGTTTCATTTTCAGCAATCAACACTATATCATCAGCATATCGCAGGTTGTTAACAATATGCCCACCAAAAGCTATTCCTGGCATACCATGTATGGATCTAATAATTATTTCACTGTACAAATTGAATAAATCAGGTGATAGGACACATTCCTGTCTAACGCCTTGTTTCATGTTTAGATGCCTGGCTCGCTAGCGTAGTTAGCTAAACCGAATTGCGCGGTGACCGGGTGACGAACTCCTTGTGGCCGGGGGTAGGCAGAAAAGCCACATTTCTTCGAGATTTATGGTATTTATCATGGAATCGAGGCTGAAGGGTTGCGATATCCATAATACCGAGCCTAAGGGTTGACAATTCATGGCTTCTGAATACTTTTAAAAAAAAAGGATTTGAAAATTTTCAACTTGGTTGTCAGTCCTTATGGCTGCTTCTTGTTGCCAGTATATGTTTTTTATTATTCTCAGATCTTTACCATCAACGTTTAACGTTTCCAAAATTCATATTACACAGGTTCTAGATAACACTTGAACACACTTTTTCTTACTTTTTTAAAAATATGGTATATCTCTGAGAGATTAGATACCGGAGGAAAGATTCATGTTTAACATAACTTATTATTGTTTATTTTATTGCAGACACTAAATTGTTGTAAGTTATGTGTATTATTACAGCAAGAGATGTTGCGGTTTCCAAAACTGCATGAACGCATTATTGATGTGGTCACAAATTTGCTGCGGCTGAGACTTCCACCGACAAATTCAATGGTACTAATTTGTCTTTATTGTTTTTAATTATCATTTGTTTTTACTATCTTTCTAACTGTAATTGAGATAATTTGTGTTTAATTAGGCATACATATTCCACATTTCCTACGTATATAGACACTTTAATTTATTATTAATACGATGTCACTGCTCTTAAGGCAGGCTATGTCTCTCACACGCTTGCTATTTTCTTCTTTTTCTCCTCCTCCTACTACTTATTCATCTCCTCCTCCTTCTTCCTCTTCCTCTTTTTGTCATGCCTTGATAGACCATATTTTAACATGGAGACTAATGGTTTATATTGACTGTAATATTGAATCATTTGCCATGTTCAAGTTGTCATCACTATATATAAGCAGTTTTATTCCACATTTTTTAAACATTTCCCATAAAGGTAGAAAACCTGGTTCAGATAGAACTCGCTTACATCAACACCAAGCATCCTGACTTCACAGAGGCGCACTATGTTCACCGTGCAATCACCTCCGGCACTGCTGACGGTGACCTTGCCAAGATCACAGCACACAGAAATATGGTGGAAAGAGTTCAAGAGGATCGAGACAAGGTACGTTTATGAACCAGAATTACAGCTGTGTTGAGTTGATCTACAGGATACATGTGCTGGCAGACTGGTAAAACCTGCAGTTCCTGGGGCCCGTTTTGGAGAACAAAGAATAAACTCACTGCCCCCATAACAAGAATGTCCTAGGAGGCAACTAATTAGGGATGTTTCCTTCAAAGATAGAGTGTATGTAACTTCTTCTTTTTCTTTGCATTCACCAGCTGTAAACTCTGGCCAAAAGTTCTGGTTGCTCATCCAGTTCTGGACTGCAGTCCTGTTCCAGAACTTGAGTGTTGCGTGTGCATCTGTTTTACAAATCTGACTGCTCTTTTATGCAGACTGCTGGTTCTCTGCCTCTCAGGCAGATGCACTCCGACTTCGAAGGAAGCTCCCAATTAGTCGACTCTTACGACATGCTTTTGGGTAGGCAGTGGGTCTATTCTTGTTTTCCCTGTAATAGGGCCCCGGAACCGATACAGGGAGCACATATATAACTGAACGGCAAGGAATAACAATCTGAAGGCTGATAAACCAGACTGTAAAATAGATGTGCATGCAGAAATCAAGTTCTGGATAAATACCAAAGTCCAAAAGTGGTCAAACAATCAAAACTTTCCACAAGAGTTTACAGCTGATGAAGCTAAGAAAAGTAAGAATAGGTGAAACCAGCAGGAAGTCAGCAGTTCAGGTTTGTGAAAATCTGAAGGTTATCTATAGCTGTAAGCAAAACAGAACCACTGCAGCTCATTAGCTATAGTAGTGGCTAGATACTTGCCTGAAGATCTTGGTTTCCAATCTGCATCAGGTCAGATTGTTTTTTCAAAAATTATCTTGTCTCCCAAGTTGAACCAGCCTATAATGGGGAGCAGGTAATGTCCTGGGAAATGAAGTTGGTTCCTCGCTCACATATTCTTACACATGTTATTTCATCTAATCTCGTGTCTTCTGTCAACATTCGTTCATATATAGTGTTCAGAATATCTCCCTTGTTCAGTATGAGTGTTCCCATAGCTATCACTTTATGCATGTTCTGGACAGTATATCCACATGATTTCCTGCAGTGTTGGCATACTAATGCTTGGTATCTACTGACACTAGATTAGTCCATTTTAAACCTTCCCCACTACCGACTGAGAATCAAACACAGTACTTCCTCTGCCAACTTTATTTTCTGCTATTCAGATCAGAGCTGCAGTGATTGCTAGAAAATAGGTGAATACTGTATCAGAGATTGCAGATGTAGAACTCCTGTACCGTCTACAGTGATGCTGAAACCTCTGCCAATGTCTGCATGCTCAGTATATGTACTGACAGAGAATTACAGTAACTTCTGTTAAATAGATAACCACTTTATCTATGCTAGCAGCTAGATGGCTACTGTGCTAGCAAATAGCCACTATATCTGTGCTAGCTACTAGATGGCCACTGTGCTAGCAAATAGCCCCTAAATCTGTGCTAGCAGCTAGATGGCCACTGTGCTAGCAAATAGCCCCTAAATCTGTGCTAGCAGCTAGATGGCCACTGTGCTAGCAAATAGCTACTAAATATGTGCTAGCAGATAAACTCTGCAAAGATAGCCTCTGTATATTTGCTAGCAAAAAGTCATAATATATAGCCACTATATATGTGCTAGGAAATAGATAGCCACTATATATGTGCTAGAAAACAGAGAGCCACTCTGTCTGTGGTAGCCAACAGATAACTGTTTGTATAAGCAGAAAGAGAACTAATTAGACTATCTTTCTAGCCCTGTATCTTTATTATCTGTGAATGAAGTAAGTAAAAGTGAAGGACCCTTTCCAGTGCCATTAGGTGTAAGGGGCATAGAGTGTTAGACCTATGTTTTATAGCCGTTAGGACTCGTTAACATCATGTCGCCCACCTTTACTTCCCAGGTATTTACCTGGTGCCCATTTAAGACTGGGTCGACCTGGCAGTCAAGGTCGTTTTGAAAATATCCTGCCCAGTGCGGATTTCAGCCTTAAACTGTCAGGCCCATAGAGAGCGTTTAGCCACTACGCCACGGCAGCTTCTCTTTAGGTAATGTGGCTGCCTTTATTTCCCAAAATCCTTTCTGGTACTAACTTTTAGGCTTGACCTAGGAGCCCAGATCAGTTATAAAATTTTCGCTGACGGAGATTTGAACTTATGTCTTCTGGACTGGCAGTCATGTATTGAGCCTTGCAAGTCAACAATAATCAGTTTCCATTTCACCTGTCACCTGATCTACTTTTGTCGTCTGTTTAAACCTAAAGGACCTGACCAGTTCAAACTCATATATGAGGACCCCAACAAGGATGGGGACGGCCCCCTTGATTGGTAATAGGGAGAAGAAGCAGGAGCAGGTAGTTTATGGATGTCATTGGGTTTCCTTTGTTGCATTAGTTACCAGGGGGCCTCAGATGAAATCCTTGAAGGTGTGGTAGAAATGACAATAACCATGCCGCTGTCTTGTAACCTGTCAGTATGGTTTGTTAAAAATGTCAAATCATGCATCGCAGTGCAGACGAACATGGGTGAGGTCATCTGACAGTTTGAAGATGGCAGTCTCACTTTTTACATGCATCAAAGTGGAACACTGTTCTGTTATCCTTTTTAAAAAAAAAATTATGTTTATTAAGTGAATCAATGAAACTTATAGAAATTCATTCGCGAATAAAGTTCCAGTATGGTGGTGCATGGCTGTCCGTCCAGAAAGTGTGTAAGTGAAGTACAATGTTTTAGAATGGTGTGACTTCTGAGGCAGACTGTTCACAATCAGGTCAGGCAGTTTATCGCAGACGTCACCGTGTTTTGAAAGTGTGTAAGTGAAGTAAAATGTTTTAGAATGGTGTAACTTCTGAGGCAGACTGTTCACAATCAGGTCAGGCAGTTTATCGCAGACGTCACCGTGTTTTGAAAGTGTGTAAGTGAAGTAAAATGTTTTAGAATGGTGTAACTTCTGAGGCAGACTGTTCACCATCAGGTCAGGCAGTTTATCGCAGACGTCACCGTGTTTTGAAAGTGTGTAAGTGAAGTACAATGTTTTAGAATGGTGTAACTTCTGAGGCAGACTGTTCACAATCAGGTCAGGCAGTTTATCGCAGACGTCACCGTGTTTTGAAAGTGTGTAAGTGAAGTACAATGTTTTAGAATGGTGTAACTTCTGAGGCAGACTGTTCACAATCAGGTCAGGCAGTTTATCGCAGACGTCACCGTGTTTTGAAAGTGTGTAAGTGAAGTAAAATGTTTTAGAATGGTGTAACTTCTGAGGCAGACTGTTCACAATCAGGTCAGGCAGTTTATCGCAGACGTCACCGTGTTTTGAAAGTGTGTAAGTGAAGTAAAATGTTTTAGAATGGTGTAACTTCTGAGGCAGACTGTTCACAATCAGGTCAGGCAGTTTATCGCAGACGTCACCGTGTTTTGAAAGTGTGTAAGTGAAGTAAAATGTTTTAGAATGGTGTAACTTCTGAGGCAGACTGTTCACAATCAGGTCAGGCAGTTTATCGCAGACGTCACCGTGTTTTGAAAGTGTGTAAGTGAAGTAAAATGTTTTAGAATGGTGTAACTTCTGAGGCAGACTGTTCACAATCAGGTCAGGCAGTTTATCGCAGACGTCACCGTGTTTTGAAAGTGTGTAAGTGAAGTAAAATGTTTTAGAATGGTGTAACTTCTGAGGCAGACTGTTCACAATCAGGTCAGGCAGTTTATCGCAGACGTCACCGTGTTTTGAAAGTGTGTAAGTGAAGTAAAATGTTTTAGAATGGTGTAACTTCTGAGGCAGACTGTTCACAATCAGGTCAGGCAGTTTATCGCAGACGTCACCGTGTTTTGAAAGTGTGTAAGTGAAGTAAAATGTTTTAGAATGGTGTAACTTCTGAGGCAGACTGTTCACAATCAGGTCAGGCAGTTTATCGCAGACGTCACCGTGTTTTGAAAGTGTGTAAGTGAAGTAAAATGTTTTAGAATGGTGTAACTTCTGAGGCAGACTGTTCACAATCAGGTCAGGCAGTTTATCGCAGACGTCACCGTGTTTTGAAAGTGTGTAAGTGAAGTAAAATGTTTTAGAATGGTGTAACTTCTGAGGCAGACTGTTCACAATCAGGTCAGGCAGTTTATCGCAGACGTCACCGTGTTTTGAAAGTGTGTAAGTGAAGTAAAATGTTTTAGAATGGTGTAACTTCTGAGGCAGACTGTTCACAATCAGGTCAGGCAGTTTATCGCAGACGTCACCGTGTTTTGAAAGTGTGTAAGTGAAGTAAAATGTTTTAGAATGGTGTAACTTCTGAGGCAGACTGTTCACAATCAGGTCAGGCAGTTTATCGCAGACGTCACCGTGTTTTGAAAGTGTGTAAGTGAAGTAAAATGTTTTAGAATGGTGTAACTTCTGAGGCAGACTGTTCACAATCAGGTCAGGCAGTTTATCGCAGACGTCACCGTGTTTTGAAAGTGTGTAAGTGAAGTAAAATGTTTTAGAATGGTGTAACTTCTGAGGCAGACTGTTCACAATCAGGTCAGGCAGTTTATCGCAGACGTCACCGTGTTTTGAAAGTGGGGCGGCCATCTTTAAACATTCATTATGTTCTTACCATGTTTATCTGCATCTTGATGCCACATGCTTAACACTCTTATCATCCTTAACAACAGGTTACAAGACAGTGTAATTTGTATCACATTTTAAGGTTTACATTTGAAACCCTTTATATATTTTGTTGTCATGTTCACCTTTGGTTAAAATGTCTGCTTTCCTTGTTTAAATGTTTAAATTATAAATTTAGACAAACTTTGTTAGTGATTAGCTGTTGAGTTGAGTTGAGTTAAGAACCCATATCACATCATTCAGGGCATCCTTATAATTGCTCTGTCCCCATCTTCAGCAACCAGCCCAGTGTTTTAGTTTTGAGGGTACCAGCAGCAGTCCGATTGTATGCTTGTCTTGAGTGTTGGCCAGATCCCTGCTGCACCCTTCTCTTCAGACAATGATGATCTGTTTGTGCTTCTGCACTGTTGACTGTCTCCCACAGGACATTGACCACATCTAGCTTGTCATGCATCAGTTTACCACCAGGTGGAGCAGAACCAGCCAGTCTGCCTATCTGTTTATTATCCAACACACATACATATCCTGAAAAGAAAAAATATCTCCACAGGATGCTAATCACCAGGGATCCTTGCTTGTCATGCTGCGTGGAACATACCTGTCCCCTGCTTTGAGAGTCTCTTACACTCATACAGTCACGACATATGAGTATTACTGGTGGGCTATGGTGGCATAGTGTTTAATGTTCTCATTTGCCAAGCCAGTGGTCTTGGTTCAGGACCCAGTAGTGGTCTTATTCTTTTATGACAGATGTAGCTTTGTGGTAAAAGAATGTTTGTAAAGTGTTTAAATGGTATTCTTGTGATCCTATGTTCAAATCCCTGTCAAAGCTGGAATGTTTTCAAATTTATCCCAAGTTGACCTTGTTTAAAATAGATACCAGGAAATTTTCAGGGGGAAGTAAATGGGATCAGCATGCTAATTAATACACAACTCAGTGAGTGTTGATTGGTTTATTCTATATCGGAAGGTCTCCGTGGCAAAGTGGTCAAGCCGTTTGTTTTACGCTTTGAAGATCATGGGTTCGTTTCACAGCTGCATCTTTCATTTTCCGGGGGCAGTTTTACTGAGATATCTGGGGATTGTTGCTGGAGCTGTGGAGCTCATGTTTAGTGCAACACTGTCAGCATTCGGCTAGCCATTCAGCAGAGAGAGACTGTGTCACGTGGGATAAAACCCGGTGCAGTGAAGTCAATCCTCTCGACTTTAACCTTAATCTTTGGTTTATAAACCAATAGAGCTAAATACACAGTACTGTATTTTCATGGCACAAAGAAGGGTCCCATAGTTATTTTTAAATTTTACTATGGATTGAAGTTTTTCAGAGAGAAATGATCACCCTGACCAGGCGGTAAGGTACTAAAACTTGAAGAATAATCATTAATATTAACATTACTCATTGTATAGTATAGTTTGTTGGTTGTGCTAAATGCACAATTTACTTTACATTCAGTTACATCCCAATTTCATTATGTTCTTTACATTTTAGTGCACTCTTCCTGGAACTGACAGTCTGTTTCAAGTACTTTAATTATTTGAGATGCATGTTTAGTTGCTTTAACTATCAGTTTGGCTTTGATATGTTTTCTTTCATCATTTCTTAAATTAGAATCTCTGAAACAGTTTTCAAGCAGCCTTTATTTTAGTTTTCTTGTTGTCTTTTCCCCAGTAAATATTCTGTATTCTTGTTTAGGTCAGCATTATTATTAAGAAAGAATCCTGTGTTTTTCATAAGCAAACAATAATAATAAAAGCAATAATAATAAAACTAATAATACCAAAAAACAAATATTGGTAGAAGTACCAGCTACCAACCATATGTGTCATGACAGGTGAACTAAGGCTGCATTTATGTGTTCTCAAAAACATAAGAACTTAACCAAAAATAAGAATTAGCCAGATTTTTCATGATGCTGGTAGTATAAGCCCTAACCTTAATTTAAAATATCAGTCAGACATACAGATTTGGCCGCCTGTTGAAAGACACTTGCACACATGGTGAATTATAGAGTAATGAATGTTTAAAAAGTAATCACTGCTGTAAATGAATATCGATTTTTGGAAACTTTGCACCTGAATAAGTGTAGAATTTTGTATATAAACGATAAGATGTTCGCTAAAAATAAACCCTAAAGCATCTTTTAGAGCAAAAGTAACACAAAACCTGGTCTTATTTTAAGAGAAACACTTAAGATATCTTTTTCTTTTTTTAGTTTTTATTTGACAGAAAGAATCTAAGGGTCTGTTCTTCATTTGGAGTGCTAGAGATTTTTCCTGAAAAAAAGGAAAAGTGTTTCGTGGAAATCACCCAACCCATACTGTCATTACCTAGTAAATATGAAGATCTGACACTTGACAGCACTGATGCATTGTCTCATATGACCTTGTGAGCAGATGCTTAGTAAGGTCAATGGTACTTAATGCTTAAAATTTCACCCTCCCCCACCCATAAATATTTTTATTTTAAGAAGGCACGTTATTGCTATTTAGTCAGCCCCCTCAGGGATGTCACCTGGGGCTGTCAGCGCCCTCCTTCCTTCGCCACTGCTTGTAAGTAAATAAAGGACCCTACTTGTATATGTGGCATATCAAGCAAAGGATTCTACATTATTTTATTGACCAATCTGCCCTCAGTGATCATCACACTTGCTGTCTTTACTTCCCAGGATATTACCTGGTACCTATTTTAAATTGGGTCAACCTAAGGGCCAGAGCTAGTTAATAAAAACACCTGTCTCTGTGTGGATTAAATCTGACGACATTCGGACCTGTAGGAAAACATCAAGTCATTATGCCAGTGTTTGGCTTCCCATAAATCCTTGGTCAGTGAACAGTTTGGTGAAGGATTTGCTCATTCTTCAATCCACAGGTCAGTTCTGCTCCTATTGTTGATGGCATCAATGGTAGCTCCTGGAAGCTGACCAACCTGATTCGTTCAAACAGACTGGACCAGGGGGGTGACCGAATGTCTGAAGCATCCTCTCAGCCTGGTAGTGGGGCCAATAGTGCTGCTCCCTCTCCATCTCGTTCCAGAAAGGGCATCAATTTGCTCCCAGAAGTGGTGAGGCATTATTGTTCACTTACTGTTTTCTTTACAGTTGAAGTATAGAATACCTCCTTTTGGGGGACTCCATGGTGAAATGATGAAACCAATTGCCACTGAAGACCATAGGTCAATTTTGTAGACTTTCCTCAGTTCATAAGTGCAGTTTTTTTATAGAGATCAATTCTTGAGCCACGAGTTTGTGTTTTGTGCAGCGCTGTCACCTGGTAGCTAGCCATTCTGCTTAGAGAGCCCTAGCCGTATGGCATATCACCTGGTGCAGTGAATTTGATTCTCTCAACTTTAAATTTGTAAACTTTATACTTTTGTTTTGTAAAGGCTGCTTAGGTTTTTTAACCCATTGACTGCCAAGCCCGTTGTCTTTTGCACTTTCCCAGATACCACCAACTTCTAGTGTGTACTAATTGCCATAGCTTCCACAACTGTTTAACATCAACTCATAATATTTTGTATTTTTGCAGCAGAGTGAGTAGAGAACGGTTTTACTTTGTTTGACATAATCATCATATGGCTGTAGATTGCTACCAAAAGAGCAACATAAAAATCTTGAATCTGACAGCAGCATAATTAATGATTTCTTTTTTTTTTTTTTTTCTTGAGCTCTGCCCAACTGAAATAAAATTCTGCAATTTCAATGGCTGTTTGCCATTTTACACTAAGAATTTTAAAAGCCACAAGACTGACATTTTCCCTTACTGCCCACCGTGGGAATCACACCCTGGTAAACGTCAAGGAATCCGCAGGGTTGGTCTGTGGCATTGAAGGTCATGCTGGCCTCATGCCCTTTCTCCTGCTTTCTCATCCAGGCGGGCGACTGGTAATGATGAAGTGTCTTGTGATATTAATTTGAAATCTTTCTAGATTTGTCTCTACCTTTAGATTCTGCATGTAAACAATTTAGTTGTCCGTGTCACTAATTTTTGATATTTTTTTTAAGGGTTTTATCGCTGCATATGTAATACTTACATAAAGATGAGGTTTTCCTAACAAAAATAATGAGGATTTATAATTATCTTATCTTTGTAGTGATATCTTATTATCTGGTGTTTGCATCATGACTAATGATTGTCCGGTCTTTGCAATAACAAGTGATTATCCCATCTTTGCAATGATCTTTGCAGTGATAATGTATGGTTGTCCCATATTTGCAATGATAATTTATGATTGTCCCATCTTTGCAATGATAATTTATGATTATCTCATCTTTGCATTGAAAAGAAATATTTATCCTATCTTTGCAGTTGTGACATTTTTTTCCCTTGCAACAATGACTTATGATTGTCCCATCATAGCAGTGATGACTAATGATTATTCAATATTTGTATGTGTTTCCCAAACATTTCTTAGTCGCAGCGCCTTTTTTCAGCTAAAACTTTTCCACGGCACCCTAACCTAAGTGAAAGTATGACTATTTGTGTGTAAGAGATATTTAAAAAAAAGAATAAAACTCGCGTATCTTTAAATGTTTCGCTGCACCCCTGTAAAAAGATCACGGCTCCCCGGGCCGCCGCGGTGCACAGTTTTGAAATCTCTGTCTTTGTAATGATTACTTGTGATACTCCAGTGTATGCGATGGTGACTAATAATTATTCAATCTTTGTAGCCAGAGCAACCGGTGATGAAGTTATCAGCCAGGGAACAAAGAGACTGTGATGTTATAGGTAAAATTATTGGTTCCTTTCATTATTTCTGAATGAAATTGTATCTTTTGACTGTGTTTTTATAGGTAAATTATTGGTTCCTTTCATTACTTCCGACTGAAATTGTATCATCTGACTGATGTTTATAGGTAAATAATTAGTTCTTGTCATTATTTCTGATTGAAATTGTAACATCTGACCGATGTTTATAGGTAAATAGTTAGTTCTTGTCATTATTTCTGACTGAAATTGTATCATCTGACCTATGTTTATAGGTAAATAGTTAGTTCTTGTCATTATTTCTGATTGAAATTGTATCAGCTGACTGATGTTTATAGGTAAATATTTAGTTCTTGTCATTATTTCTGACTGAAATTGTATCATCTGACTGATGTTTATAGGTAAATAGTTAGTTCTTGTCATTATTTCTGACTGAAATTGTATCATCTGACTGATTTTTATAGGTAAATAGTTAGTTCTTGTCATTATTTCTGATTGAAATTGTATCAGCTGACTGATGTTTATAGGTAAATATTTAGTTCTTGTCATTATTTCTGACTGATGTTTATAGGTAAATATTTAGTTCTTGTCATTATTTCTGATTGAAATTGTCTCTTCTGTGGCTGTTTGTTATTCTTTGTAACTTGTATTCATTCATCACAAATGAACTGAGATTTGTAATCTCTTGAACACTGAGATATTTAGACTGCATTGAGTTTCACAATGGTTTTAGAAAAAGTAGTCATTCCTATCAGCTTACACAACTATTGTTAATCTCCTGTAGCCTCATCCACTTCTTTTTCATAACATGTGGTCTTGCCCATGTAAATCAGGTGACACAGTTTGGATGTGAACCTGCAGTCTTTGGAGAACTAGGCAAATGGCTTAACCACTTTACAGCAGAGACCCTCTTAAAGCACTACATAGTCAGTATGACCGCCTGAGAATAGGTCCTTCATCTTTTATCTCTTTTCTGTATTTCAGAAATCAAATTTATAAGCATTTCCAGTGTGCATATAGGCCAGATCTGATATAAATGTAAAGGAACCCTTTTTTTGGGCACATTGACTAGACTCTTATTTGTATAGGCCAGTTGGCCCTCAGTGGCAGATTAGTCTGCATTGGTCTTGTATCACACAACATGCATTGATTAACTTTTTCAATCCAGAGCTACCTGTGAAGTGTTACTGACTGCTATGTGTGTCCCGAGAAATTAATCCAATGAACTATAACTAAAAAGCAAAGCAAAGGGGCACAATGTACACACAACAGACAAATCAGTATTTCAGCCAGGGTATTTTTCGATATGAACAACACAGCAGTAACAAGGGGCAAAGTACTCCAACCATCATTACCCACCAGGGGGATCACTTGAATAATTATAAATTTAGGAAGAGAAAAAAAAAGGTGATGTTGGCATGTTACTGTTGTGTAGTTCATGTTGAGAAAGGCTCTGACCAAAGCATTAATTTGTCTGTCACATTTTTTTTAGTCACAGTTCATTGGATAAATTTCTTGGTATTTGCTTGACTGCATTCACCCCTGTTACAGTTTTTATTGCTTCTCTATTCTTACATTACATTTTGTGGGCAGTAGTTTCACTTTCAGTGTATTATTGAATGGGATAAAAATTAGTGATTGAGTCTTGTTTAGAATATTTAAAAAGACAGTAAATGTGAATTAGAAGACAATTCTGCTTAACCACCCACAGAGCGACTGATCAGGTCCTACTTTATGATAGTCAGGAAGAACATCCAGGACAGTACTCCCAAAGCTATAATGCATTTTCTGGTCAACTTTGTCCAGGATCACTTGCAGGTAAGTTAGATAAACTGATCGTCTCATGTGCATTGTCATCTTGGTGTGAGTTACTTAACTTTTTCGCCATGGAGACCCTCTATAAGAGAGCGTAGAACCTGGGAAAGGTTATTTTAAAGACAACACAAGTCATTATTAAATATTAGAAAATTTTTTTAAAACTTGTATACTCAAGGATGGGTCAGCACAAAGTGCAAGCAGAAATGAAGGAGCAGGAGTATATATTGGGCATCCAAATAATACTAGATATATACAGCCAAAATACCAACAGAAAAGCGCTGTCGCAACTATGATGCAGAAGTTCAAGTCATCAAAATAGCAGCAGAGAAACTGCTAAATATATTTCATATTTCACAACCCGACTGATGCAAGAACAGTTCTTCAGGCACCTAAATCTGGAAAATTACCTGGTATAAGGAAACTACTTTTCGTACTAGACAACCGATGTAAGGTAACTGCAATGGGTACCATCCCACTGTGGATTTTCCAGAAATTGAAGATCCAATAAACTAGCTAAGGACAGTGTAAATGAAGAACAGCCTGGTAACAATCTGTTACCAATAAAAGAAGAGAATAGTTAAATCAGTTAAAAAGATACCAAAACTGGCAAAAGATGATTTCCATGTAATGGACACACCAGAGCAAGTCATTATTCTACGCCTTAGAACAGGAGACAATGGACTTTGTAGCCATATGTACACAAAATTTAAGATAAGTGAATCAGCCATGGGTACCCGTGGATTAGCACCATAGACAACAGATCAGATACTCTAAAACTGTCCTAAATATTTTTGCCAAGAGAAACACCGGTACAAGCCAAACTTTATGGGTCACTGATTGAATTACAACAAACTGAAGTTCATACTAGAGACAACATTGCAGATATAGATAATCTGTTTCAAGCGAACAAAAGAAGAAGAAGAAAAAGATTGTTAAACATTCTTAAACTCTGTTTAGAAATATACAAAGGGGTATAATCAATGACACAAGAAGAGAATTACAAGACTATAGTCCCTTAGGTCTCAAACAAAATTTATATGGTGACTTATGCTATGACCTTATGGCCCTAATTACTAAAGGTTAAAGAAGAATTATGACATCATCGTGGCTTTAAAAAATCCATGTGTTCTCACAATATACACACCCACCCAGTTTTTCCCATGCTGTATTTGATAAATATAATCATATCTGACCCTTCTAAACTCTGCACATGTGCAAACAGAACCAGTGCCATTAGCTAGGCTTGGTAGGAACTGGCCAATGCAGCAGTACCAGTTAAGCGGCTCCTCGTGGATTGTGACGGATGACGATGCCAGAAAGAGGCTATAATGGGAAAGGGGGGGGGGGAGATAAGCTAGTTGTATTTTCTATCTTTCTTTTGATGAGAACATATATGTATTTAGTCAAGCTCCACTCCAAGCTTATGTGTGAGTTAGCCATTTTGGTGTGCATGAATTTTTTTTTGTAGGTTATTTAATGTAACAGAATGAAAACATTCTGTAGTTGCGCTCAGAGATCATTAATTACTCTGTATGTTGTATTTTAAAGAGTGAACTTGTGAGTCAGCTGTACAAGAAAGAAGAGATTGAAACATTGCTGGAAGAATCCAGTCACATTGCTGCTCGTAGGAAGGAGGCCTCAGAGATGTTACAGGTAGATGTTTGCTGCTTGTCTCCACTTGTAAATTTTTAGTCTGTACAGTGCATGCTTACTTAAAAAAAAAAATTGTGTTAACTGACTTCTGCTGCTGCTTATAAACTGGGATACAAGCTCAAGGTCTGTTATGTTTCCCAAAGCCATATGTTGTTTGACAGCTTCTCCAGGAGACGAGTCTTGCAAAACATATTCTGGTGTCTGTTTTCACAAAGACACTGATAAAAGACTGTCTCATATCTAGTTTATATGAGTATTTGTTGAGTCTGCAATGTCCGGCACTTACTGTTTTCCAGCAGTTGAATGTGTTCTTCTTATAGCCACACTCTGTGGTGTTTGTTGGTCATAATGTTTGTCTTCTGCCTTTCATCTTGTGCACTGCCAATCATTTCATATATAGATTCTCCTCCATACCATGTGTGACGTGCGGTGGCTTCATGATGATGATGTGTGGTATACCAACGATGAAATAGGGCAAGTGGGGTAGAACATTATAACTTCAGCGCTTTCAACCTAATGACGATGAACGCTCTTAAAAGGTTACATTGGTGTATTGACAATAAAGATGATCAACAGAAGGAGAAATGTGCAATTAATAATCCAAACACACCAACCGAGCCCGCTCGACATCAACTGATTTCATAACAAATGACGGGGCGCAGTCCGACCTTGGAATCCGGACAGTTATCTTGTTCTTCTCTTCTGCAGTCTGAACAAGGTAGTATAAGTATCCCGGCTTACTGCCGAACGTAGTAGACATTATACCAGCTTTCTGCTGAGGTTTATAGTGGAGTCCCGGGGTAGAGCGTTCTCAAGGATCCAACTTTGATTACCATTCCTTCTGTGGCATCCCGGGATAAAGCATCCTCAAGGATCCACACGTCTGTCTCCTTCAGACTGTAAACATCGAATGCCTTTGACAACAATTCCCTCACTTCCTGACGTATTGTTTTGACGTCCTATTTGCTCACTCAGTACTGGTGCGTTCTAGTGCACATCCGCATGCGACAGCTTTCCCCCCGTCACCCGAGGACTAGGACCTGTCGTAGTCTCAGTCGGAAAACTAGTCATTTCTGGCATTCCTGCAAACCAAATGGTGTTTTATAACCAAGTTGGCGTCATATTATTCTGTAATTCTCACGATAGAGGTGACGGGGTCGCACCGTGAGTCACTGAATACATATTTTTTTAGGCGGCAGGGAATGAATACTATTTAATGCTAATGCTTCACTCTGTTCATGTTTATTGATTACTACCTATATATTTATGTATATATATAAAACTCCCTTTATTTATATATTAATATATTTTGAGAGAAAATGTACATAAATAAAGTTTTAAACAGTGTTAGTGACCTAACAAAATTACCCAGCAAATTTGCGGAAACAGAAACATTTATCACAGCATACCCATCAGAGATAACCAAGGCAGACTGCTCACCACAGAACAAAAACAAGACATGCAGTGGACTAAACACTTCTCCGACCTCTTGAACAGACCTGATCCTGAAAATCCCCCAGATATTCAACCAGCCTCTCAGGACATTGACATTATTACTGAACCACCAAGAAAACAAGAAATCCTTAAAGCTATCCACACTTTAAAGAACAACAAAGCACCAGGCCAAGGCAGAACTTCTCAAAGTTGATCCCAACACAGCTGCTAGCATTCTAGAACCATTGTTCAAGGATATTTGGGAAAAAGAAGTGTTGCCTGATGACTGGACTGAAGGAACAATAGTCCCCAGTAAAGGAGACTTAACAGACTGCAATAAATGGAGGGGAATTACTCTACTCTCAGTACCAAGCAAAATATTTTGTAAAATCATCATAATGCGGCTTGAAAAAGGAGTAGATAAATGCCTTCGAGTAGAACAAGCAGGATTCAGAAAGGGCAGAGGAACAACTGAACACATTTTCGCCATACGTAACATTTTAGAACAATGCAATGAATGGCAGAGAAGTATATGCATAAATTTTATAGACTTTGAGAAAGCTTTTGACAGCGTCCATAGAGACAGTCTATGGAAAATGTTACGACATAATGGAATTCCAGAAAAAATAGTCAACATAATTGCTCTCTTCTATAAAGACTTTTCCTGCAGTATAAAAGATTACAATGCATCCTTCCCAGTAAAGACAGGTGTAAGACAGGGATGTGTTCTGTCATCTCTCCTCTTCAACCTTGTGATTGATTGGATACTAAAGAACACAGTAGACATGACATTGAGAGGCGTACGATGGACTCCATTCACCATGCTTGAGGACCTTGATTTTGCAGATGATATAGCACTCCTATCACATAAACATGAACATATACAAGAGAAAAGTAACAGACTACACAGCACAGCAGAAATGGTGGGACTGAGAATAAATACAAAGAAAACTAAGATCATGACAAGCAGTCCAAACCAACAACCAGTGACCATAAATAACCAAACTCTTGATAATGTAGAACATTTCACATATCTTGGCAGTGTGGTGTCCCTGCCTGGAGGGACCGAAGAGGACATACAGTCACGTCTGAACAAAGCCAGAGCTGCTTTTATAAGGATGAGACAAATCTGGAAATCCAACAATTACTGCAGAGGAATGAAACTGCGACTCTACAAGAGCATAATTTTGCCAGTTCTTCTTTATGGAGCGGAATGCTGGAGAATGACCAAAAAAGATACACACAAGCTGTCCACCTTTCACCATACATGTCTACGTAGAATTATCAAAATTTTCTGGCCAGATACAATCTCAAACACTAAACTACTTCAAGTCACAAACCAAGAAACTTTAGACAGTATTATAACCAAGAGAAGATGGAAATGACTTGGCCACGTTATGAGAATGAATCCTGATTTACCCACCAAAACAGCTCTCACATGGACACCAGAGGGAAAGATAAAACAGGGGCGCCCAAAAACAACATGGAGACGAACGATGGAAAATGACCAGAGTGTGGCATCTTTGACATGGAAAACTGCACTGAAGATTGCACAGGACAGGAAAGCATGGAAAGTCCTCTCTGAAGCCTCATGTGCCACTAGGCATAACGAGAACTCATGATGATGATGATATATATATATATATATATATATATATATATATATATATATATATATATATATATATATATATATATATATATAAAACTCCCTTTATTTATATATTAATATATTTTGAGAGAAAATGTACATAAATAAAGTTGTAAACAGTGTTAGTGACCTATACAAAATATTTTTTTTAACAAAGAATTTTGTTTTTTAAAGAGTTTCAACCTGGTGATCACTTGAAACAAATGTTACTCCTTACTTTGACTTCCAGTTAAAATGGCACTGTTCTGAGTCATAGCAATTTTTTTGCTTCTGCCAGACAGTGGCCATTGCATTTTTGATCCATTTGTAGACTAAGAGGATATAGTTTTGTCGCCCAGCTACTGAGTTGAGTGCATGGCGTGACACTGTGAGCTGCAGATCAAAGTGGTGTTGTGAATTATAGATTCATAAAATGGTGCATGGCAGTATTGGTGGTACCCTCATATGATTAAAATTGATCGCGTGTGCAACTGCTGATCTGTTGGTAACTTGTGCTACCGTCGATGATGAACTGCATTTCTAATGTCTGACTGTTTGTGTTAGCACTTCTGATGGCTACCGTATGCTTTTAATGCATGTGTATGCTAGTGCATATGCTGAGACAGCAGTCTGTCAATCTTTCCACAAAGGATTGTGATGTACATTCTGTTAGTTTTTCGTTGGCACAGGAGCGGAGCAACTATGGGGGGAACCGTTTGCTATGAAGCTGAAACTAAGATTGAAAAAATAAATTTTATTTTTATTATTTAGCATTACTGTGGCCAAAAAAAAAAAAAAGAAGTTAAATCCTGGGGCTTGCAACCCCTCTGTCCAAAACTGACTTTAATTAGTAAATACAGCTAGTAACAACAGTTTTGTTTTTACTCAGCGGAATATTTTTACTTACAGTTGTATCTTTTTTCCTTTCCCAGGCTTTACAACGAGCCAGTCAGATTATTGGAGAAATCAGAGAGATTCATTTATGGTGATTTCTGAGATAGCAAAGATCAGCACATGTGTTCATCAAACAGACAAATTACCCAAACAACCGTCAGCAAGAATGTACGAGGTGAATGTTGAGTACCTTGAAAGAAGGAATGGAAGTCTCTGCAGTCTGTACTAATGTAATCTACAGAGTAATCATTCAACAGCTACTATATAAGAGAAACCAGCTGGAGAAGCTAAAAGAAACAAGGAAACGATAAGCTGAATCAGATGTAGAATTTAAGATGTGTGTGATTCTCTTGTTTGATTGAGAGATTAGAATTTAGACTTTTGTGTAAACCCTTACCTCCCCACCACATCACCAAATCTCCCAGAGTTTAACTCCCGCTACTATGTTCTACACTGCAACCTCTCCCTCCCCAAACTTAAGTCACCTAAGACAATATTTTCACAGGTTTAAGTATCAGAGATTGGACAAATTTAATATAAAATCCTATTGAGGCGGAGAAAAAAGAATAGTCCCACTGCCCCCAAACAAGCATGTTGTAAAAGTTGACTAATTCAGTGTGTTTTATTCAAAGTTGGAGTGGATCTACCATAGAGGTGAGGAACCAGCAGTCTGCATACACATTAGTTATAGCCATCAAATGGATGTGCGTGCAAAACTCCAGTACTAGAACAAGACCAAAGTCCAGAACTGGACGAACAAACATTTTTTCCCCCAAGGTTTACAGCTGCTGAATGCTAAGAAGAACAAGATTATGTAATAAAACAATGTCACAGATTAAAGGTATCAGTGTTTCAAATTAAAATATTGTCAGAGATAAAGGTAAAAAGTCATAGATTTGAATATGACAAATAAAAAGTGCAGCAGAATAAAGCAGTGTTTAATACATTAGTCTGCTTTGGTCCATGTGGTTTGTAACACACAACTAATATTTTCTTGGGCCATGTGTTACCACAGCCCACTATTAATATTGTTGCTAACCGACTCATAATATTGCCATTCTTTGACATAACCCTTTCTGATCTTCTTCTGTGGTCCATATGTATGTTTCATAACCCACATCTAATATTCTTCTGTGGTTGATATGTAATGTAACCCACATCTAATATTCTTCTGAGGTCCATATGTTACACAACCCACATCTAATATTCTTCTGTGGTCCGTATGTTACACAACCCACATCTAATATTCTTCTGAGGTCCGTATGTTACACAACCCACATCTAATATTCTTCTGAGGTCAGTATGTTACACAACCCACATCTAATATTCTTCTGAGGTTCGTATGTTACACAACCCACATCTAATATTCTTCTGAGGTCCGTATGTTACACAACCCACATCTAATATTCTTCTGAGGTCATTATGTTACACAACCCACATCTAATATTCTTCTGAGGTCAGTATGTTACACAACCCACATCTAATATTCTTCTGAGGTCCGTTTGTTACACAACCCACATCTAATATTCTTCTCGTGGTCCGTATGTTACACAACCCACATCTAATATTCTTCTGAGGTCCGTATGTTACACAACCCACATCTAATATTCTTCTCGTGGTCCGTATGTTACACAACCCACATCTAATATTCTTCTGAGGTCCGTATGTTACACAACCCACATCTAATATTCTTCTGAGGTCCGTATGTTACACAACCCACATCTAATATTCTTCTGAGGTCCGTATGTTACACAACCCACATCTAATATTCTTCTCGTGGTCCGTATGTTACACAACCCACATCTAACATTCTTCAGAGGTCCGTATGTTACACAACCCACATCTAATATTCTTCTCGTGGTCCGTATGTTACACAACCCACATCTAATATTCTTTGGCCTCTGTGTAACCCTACTCACTACCATGTTTTGTGTCACCTATGTCTGTCAACTATTAAACTTAGTTAATCTAAAATCACTGAGCTTTAAGTTCTTTACCATGTGTGAAATGAAATGTATTTGAATGAACATGCTATTGTATTGTAGTTATTTTTACGTAATTTTTTAATTAAATGGACATTGTACATTGAGTTTTCTTCCTCGCCATAATGAGCACTGCATGAAGTTGATCTTTATCAAATGAAGTTGGTTGATGTAGAATACACTGTATATCAGTTTGATTTAATTTATTGTTTCAGAATATTGTTTGCTGTTCATATCGCCATTTGTAATATCATTCCCATTAGATTATGCTGAAACACTGAAATAGAAGTTTGATGTACATAGGCATGTTGTATGTGTGTGTGTGCTCGATGAGAAGAAAAGTTTAGCTAAGAGGTTTTGTTGTTTCTTGATAAGGTTCATAGCTCTCTCTGTTGAAAGGAAATTAAAAACGTGACCTGGAGCACGTAAATTCACTAAACAAAATGACCAGTAGGAAGGGAAAACTGCACACAGGAAACAAACGCTTCACCTGAAGCCTTTATCAATAAGAAGCAAGTAAATTTTTTTTCTGTACCCCTCATTAGGCTTCCTAGTTATAGTTTGTGTTCAGTGAACTCATATATACCAGATTGACTGCTGTTGGGAGTCACCGTGGCGTAGCAGCTAGACACTCACGTAATGATTAGAAGGTCATGGGTTCGCTCCCTGGCAGAGCCAGACTTTTTACAAAAATGACCTTGACTCCCAGGTGGACCCAGCCTTGAGTGGGTGTCGGGAACAGTCCCAGGAAGTAAAGGTGGCCGGCTTAATACTGACCACATCACTGATCTTGTGCCGATTGGTCTATAAAAAATTTAGGTATATCCCTATATGCCCTATACGCCTAAAGGCGTGGAAAAGGGACCTTTACTTGACGACTGCTGTTGACCCTGATCTTATGGCATGACTGGTTTCCAACATGGCAGCTCCTTGGTTAAGAGGCTTTTAGTCTTACCCAGCCCAAGAACCTCACTATTAAAACTATCATCCCTGTCTGGCCTGGACCAGGTGCTCCAGTATAACTCTCATGGTTGAACAATGCTTGCCAGGATTCTTTTCCTTTAGGTGTTAAATCTGAGGACTGCTTTCCTGGAGGGGATAAAATGCAATGAAAAAACAACAACCTTACTATAGACACTAGCAGTGGTAATTTCTGTTAAAGTTTAGAAAGAGATATGTGTAGCTATTTAAATTTTATTTTTCTTCTGACTTGAGAATCACAGTAGAGCATAAGCCCTCAACCAGCTCACCTGAAAGCTGTTTGTAGACATTTGCATGGTCAATTGGATTTTGTAGCTAGTTTTCTGTAGGATGAGTTTCATGCCAGCTCTCATTTGTTGCCTCTGTGACATGCATAGAGTAACATTGTTACTACTCTTGGCTCCCTTGATGTGCTCCAGTAACACATGGGAGCATTTCCTGTAATGTTACTGCTCTTTGCTTCTTTGTGGGCGTTGGTAATGCATAGGCAGTGTTTGTTCATATATGTGACTTTTAGCGGTCTTGTCCTGAGAAAGTTTGTTTTGGGAGGTTTAAGGGTTTTTGATGACATGATGTCTTTGGCAGTAGCCACTACGCCTATCTGCAACTGCATATTGTGTGGTGAGTGTGATTAGATTTACCCTCCCAAAAATGTAAAATACTATTTCCAGTAAAACTAATTGCTTTTCTGTCATTGTGATGTCATTTTGAGGTGATAATAAGCTCGCAGTGACATAATATTACTCCATTTGGCTATATCAAGTAAAGATATTTTCTGTGGTCAGTTGGAAGTAAAGCAGTTAATGTTTTGCTCCATTCATATTTAATGGTAACTTCCTTCATGTTAATAAAAATCACATTTGTGTGAAATAATAATGACTAAAAATATCTACAACAGCAACAACAAAAAATGGTGTATGTGTGTGACTTGGGAGCTGTGATAAGGCAGTGGCTAGCTGGCTTGCCTGGCTGCTTGGTGGACATAGGTTTCATTCCCTGTTTTTTAATTTGTTAAAATTGAAAATCTGACGAAGACCCTTAATTTCTTCTTTTTCTATAACATCCTAGGATAAAGTTTCAAAGAATTATCACGGTGTTTTTTTTAAAACAAAATTTTTGAAGATTTTATGGGGCGAAAGGATTAAATAAACGATAAGACCAAAGAATGTTTTATTCATTGGTTTCTACTTAATGTTGGATGTTCCTCTCCAGGATCTGAACCTAAACATTTATTCCTCTCTCAGACTTATATTAGCTCATCTGGTCTGAACAGTTCTTAAAAATCATGTTTTCTTGTGCATTTAAACAGTGATGATGAAAACATTTTTTTGACTGACATATTTCGCTGTTATAGAAAGAATAGCAGATAATAGACAGAAATTACATCAACTAACTACTTGAACAAGAGCAGGCCAAGAAGATGGTGCAGAGATAATATACAGGCAGACCTACACACATTTGGAGTTACTGATTGGTAAAAGAAGACCAGCCAGAGAAGTAAATGGAAACGGGTAGTACCTGCAGCAGTGAGCCTCAGATGCTCTTCATGCTGAACAAGAAGCTATTTTGCTGTATTTCATCAGATGCATTGAAAGAATTCACAGTGCTTTTTTTGAAAAATTGAGTCAGCTAGGGATGGGCTATCCTAAACTATAAATGAAATTATCACATGGTTAATTTAAAACTTCCATGGTGAGATTTATAGTATAACAGGAGACATGATATGTTTATTGCATCCAGAAGGATTCATTTTTAGACTTTGTGATATTTTGATGTAAACTCTGTTGTATGCACAGAATTAGATACAGAGAAATATCAAGTGACTTGGGCAATCATGCTTCTCCACAGTCTGAAATCTTCAACAGCGGTTATCATTTCATGTGTTGACGCCCGTCCATGCCATGACAAAGGGCTGCTAAGAAATGTCTCATGTTTTCTTCCTCTGTCTGTTTTCCACAGATCTTTCCTTTAGTCACAAACATGTTCCAGTTTTCTTCTTCTCATAACATAACCCAAAAATAATAAGTTCTGTCTCTTTATGTTTGTGATATGTTGTCTTTGATTTTGGCCTGTGTCAAAAGCCGAGAAATATACAGGCAATAAATTGTGCTGTATATAGTATTCTGTGATTACTGTTATTATTTGCAATAAAGTAATATCTAGTAAAGATTGAGTGTATTTGACAGCTAACTAAGACTGAGTGAATTGTTTAAAAAAAAAAGTGAATGATGCCTGTAGTAGTTAGCAGATGTCAATAAGGTTATTAGAATCAGCTGTCTGTGTTGTTCACATTTGTGTCCAGTAAAACAACAGAGACCTCACACACTTGTTTATGTTCAGATGAATCCTTGACCTATTAAGGACATCATAGTAAAAAAAAAAACCGTTTCTACGCTTTTAAGTGTATTGAGCATATAGGACCCTTCTCCACACCTTCAGGCATATAGGGCTAGACCTATATATACACACACACACCAGTTGGCACTTAGTGGGTAATGTGGTCAACATCACATCGCCCGTCTTTACTTTCCAGAACATTGTCTGGTATCTATTTTTAGATCGGGTCAACTTGGGAGCCTAGCTCAGACGCGATAAAAAGATCTGCACATGGTACACCGAGATAATAACATTTGGTGTGGTGGTGGCGCCTCTTAATTGTAACTATTTTATAAGGTTGACTGGCTATTTGGGATTTGTTCTTGTTGGACTTAGCATCTGAAATGTGACTCATAGGGTCATTGTGGTGTCAAAACTTCAAAGATTGGTCCAGGGGGGAGAATACATCTGGTCCGTGTTTATGCAAAAGCTTGCTTCTCTGCTTTATCTATGCTTTGCATGCGTTTTCTTTAAGTGTTTATTTCCCCAAAACCTTGTAACATGTTTATACAATCTTGGATACACTTAAATAATTGTTCAGTTAAGGACAATTTACAAGAAAGTTGCATCCCCTAAATCCTAATTTTAAAAAGTACTCATAAAAAAATAAAAATCTGGCTTGGATTTGGAGTTAGATGATTGTAAGACAAGCTGTGAGGGTGAACTGGCAGTGACCTTAGACACACCATCCTGCTTTTAACCCAGACAGGACTAATTTTGTAGCTTGGTGGATGTGGAAGACAGAAGGGGAAAGGTCTTCAGGAACTGCTAACCTTTCTTATTGAAATCACTATTCACAACCAGGTCTTTCTAATACTGAGTGATTGCTTAGTAATTAATGTTCTGGTAAATGGCATTATGTTTACTGATCCTTGCCTGCACTGGTTGTACTGGGAGGGTTTAGTTATAGGTGACCCAGTTATAATTCACAACCAGGTCTTTCTAATACTGAGTGACTGCTTAGTAATTGATGTTCTGGTAAATGGCATTATGTGTACTGATCCTTGCCTGCACTGGTTGTACTGGGAGGATTTAGTTATAGGTGACCCAGTTATAACGTTGAGGTTGTATGGGTATCTGATATCTGTGATTTGCCCTATTTACCATCCAGACTGAGCTTGGGTAGTCTCAGAGTGTCAAACCTTCAGATCAAAATTAAGACTTATCCCACTAATGTTGGACCTCAGGCTGCTCCATAACTGTCGGGGGCCTTAATACAACCATGCTGTACTACATATATCAAGAAGAGATATAAACTTGAACATAAAGTATATATAGACACACACCTGAGTGCCCTAATTTTGAGCAATATGACCTCAACACAATCTTGAAACAACTAAGAATACCTTGAAAATACTGTTGAAAAAAAAGTTGTAAATTTGGCAACGAATCCTGTATGCAGTTGAATGGGGTGTTTTGATTAGCTCCTGTTGGATTCTCATCCAGAGTTATTCAGAATGCAATCCTAAAGGCAAAATTTCAACAACAACAAAATTCTCAAATCATCCCCTAGGTATGGGCCAAGAGAGAAAAATGAAGGCAAGTCAATGGCATGTCACGTTCCACAGTTTGCTAACAGTTAATTGTAGATATAATTTGTATATAATTTCATGGACAACAGCATTGGATTTATCTCTCGTGTGTTATTTGTATTGTTTTTATTTTTCAAGTTCGTCTACTCAAAATACATGTTTGTTCATATGTTAATTAACCACTGTATAGTACCCAACTGCTTGATGTTGGTTGGTTGCTTTTCTATGTGATATTTAACAAAAGTCCATGACATGTCTGGTGTTGCAATCAGTGGAAGAAAATTGTCAATTGGCCATCAGTATTGCAAAGTGTTAGAAAACTTGTGTATACTTTTTTTTTTAAGTATTAAAAAATTCTTTTCACGTCAGTGGCACACGAACACGACACTAGACCCACATTATTATAGAGCAGTTGGCAATCTTATAATGTTGATCACCTTTACGTTCTGGGATGTCATATCTCTTGTTTGACAGTGCAGTGTCACTGATGTAATGTCTATGTTAGGAGTGTCATTGATATAATGTCTGTGTTCAGAACGTCACTGATGTAATGTCTGTGTTTGGAGTGTCACTGATATGTCTGTGTTCAGAATGTCACTGATGTAATGTCTGTGTTTGGAGTGTCACTGATGTAATGTGTAATGTTTATGTAAGGAGTGTCACTGATGTAATGTCTATGTTTGGAGAGCCCTATGTCCTAGGTTAGTTATGCAACTTGTTAAATGGCTTTATACTGGATGTAGTTTTCCTGTGTCTGACATTACTAATGACTGTGATTTATTCTTTTTACAATAAAGTGACATAATGTAAACCCATGATTAGAATTGTAAACATTTTATTTAAAGTTTCTGCTGTGCCAAATATAAGCTCTTCTGTTAACAAGGATGACATCATGCATTGATTGATGTCTTAGTGAACTGTACTCTAGCACGGAAAGAGTTGTGTAAAAGACCATCTCCCATGCTGTCGTGCATATTGAATGTCTGGTGCTTGTCTCATAATTGTCTAGACAATGATCTTTTTATTCATGAAGTATTTGATGGGGATTGCCAGGCTGAATGGATAAGAATGCAGGGTTCTCATGCGGGAGGCCAGAGTTTGAATCCTTCGTAAGGTTAGGGATATATTTTGGAGCATAAAAAAAACCCATACTTGCACAGTCTGTGGCAACAGCACCAGCCATGCAGCTGTAAATCCTCAGGCTCAGAGGACCCCCCTCCCCGAGCTTACACTCCAAAAGTATAAATACAGGCCGTAATGACAGTTTTGGCAAAAGTGTTTAGTAATACTTCAGCCACCTTTACCGCCCAGGAACTTTCTTGGTATCTATTTTAGATTGGTTCAACTGTTGGACCCAGGTCAGTTAAAAATAATATATATTTGCTTCAGTGGTACTTGAAGCACATGACACTAATTATTATGCAAGATACTGGCATTGTCTAAATCACATCTTCCATCCCCCCAAATGCTGGAAAAAAAAAAAAAAAAACATCATAAACCCATGGGAACTTCCTTCACCAAAAAACTAAAAAAAAAAAATTTACTTACAGAGGTAAATAATACATTTTTTTACAAATATATTTATCTAGATGTTTAAATATTTTTAAAAAATAATCGAAGTTAAATGGGGAATCAATAAACACAGAGTAAAGTTAAATGTGAATCGCTGTGGTGTTGCAGCTAGATGCTTGCCTGCAGATCGGTAGGTCCTGGGTTCGGGTCCTGATGCAGCTGGGCTTTTTTTCAGAAATGACCCTGACTCCCAGATGGAGACGGACATGAGTGGGTAGATGATACAAGCCCTGGAAAGTAATGGTGGCCAGCTTGATGGTGATCACATTACCCACCAAGTGCCGATTAATCTAAAAAAAATGTAGGTCTAACCCTATATGCCCAATCTAGCCCTATATGCCCAGTACACCTGAAGGTGCAGAAAAGTTTTTTTTTTTTTTAACATCAATTGGAATACATTTCCTGATGCCTAATAAAACAATGTGTATCAGGTGATTCTTGCCATGACCCCTTGACCTCTATCATTGAGGCTTAGGGAAACATTATCTCTTTCCTTCATTTTCTCTCTATCTTTCACTTTCTGACTCTCTTTCTCTTGGTCTCATTATTTCTTTGTCTTGTTGTCACATGTTCTCATTGCTTCTGTTTCAAATTTACTGTGCTTTACCAGAAGTGATTTATCTATACACAGTACAACTCTTCATTCCTAAAGTTCAACTTTATAAATTTTTTGCAAATTCAACAATTTTTCTGCAGATCTGGTTGTAATCTGCAGGCACTGTGTCTGTGTGAACCACTTTCTTGGTGACCATAGCTGCCAGGAGTTTGTTCATTTCTGGTTTCGTGGTCAAACTGGATGCTTTTTCTATCAACTGACTGACACTGTAGGATTTCTGGTCACCTGAAGACAAACACATAAGCATTCTTCTTTTGAAAAGTACATTAACAGATTTGATGTAGACATTAAAGAGAATCCAGTGACAGCTAATTAAATAATGAAGGTCAGTGTGTGTGGCTTTGGCGCTGTGAACATGCTTTGTAATTTTGAGGTAACCCATTTGATTCCAGCTGCAAGCACTTTGACAGCAGACCACATATGGTGGATTTCAACAAAGGTATTGAGAGCCAAGTGTTAGGAGAGCAATCGTAAACTATTGAACATTAAATTGCCTAGTAAAACCAAACAGCCAAAGAATGCTGGGGTTGGTTCTGCATCTTCCTGTTTAAGGTAAGCAACTAATGGTAGTGGGGTGGTTAGCACTATAGCTTATCATGACAGTGACCTAGGTTCACTGCCCAGTAGTGCAGACTAGTACAAATCTTAGAAACTTGCCTACTGGCTCCAAGACTTAGGTTCGAATCCGTATTAAGGCTGATTTTGTTCAGAATCTACCTTGGCTCCCAAACTGACCCAGCTTAGAAATGGTGTCAGATAATGTCATGGTGAGTAAAGCCAGTCGACATGATGTTAACACAATCAACGTTTTTGCACACTGGGCATCCCCATGCGTGCTCAAGTCTCTGATACAGTAGCCACTCCAAGGTACCTCTACTGATTGTTCCCATGAGGAGTTGGTTAGAGTATCTCATGTCTTTACCTCGAAGACAACAGACATGCTTAACTCCTCGATTATGCAGTGGTGTTAGCGTCAGATATTCGCCATTTCCCCCAACCTAATCCGTACAGCGTTGATGATATCAGCTCTGTCCATGCTTCTTTCTGTTTGCATTGGTGCATTACCTGCCAGCTGATGACATGATGATGATGATTGCTATCATCATATATCAATGTGCCACTGGAGTAAAATAGTTCATTACTTTACTCACTTACAGATCATTTCATGCCAGATCCTGTTTCATTCACCCAAGTGACATAATTGTGTTGTGGCTGTTTACAGCAAACATTGCCATATTTGTACCTTTCGGCCGACACATCCGACTTGATTGAGCATTTTTTGGCCAGGTTAACTTCTTAGATAGTTTCATGGAGCACAACAAAACGTTTTCTGTTTGGTGTTCTCTTTGTCCCCTTATCTACAGGTGTTGTCCCTGGAGAACCTGTCTAGGGCGACCGTGTGTAGACTGGCTGGCCCTCAAGGGGCAGAACATGGACGCTGTGGTCCGGGGCTCACCTAAGGAATCGTCACATCCTGCACGTGACTGCTTAACCTCATATCCATATGTTGAGCTTTCCACTCATCGCGGGCTACGCTTTCAGCAGGGAGCCACCCAAAAGATCGGGACTTCGATGACCACACAGATGGGTTCAAGCTTCTTCAGCATGTTAGAAGTAACATCTGGCATGACTTTCCCTATGTGGTCTTGACACTCTTGTAAATGGGGCCAGTGGTAATAGACATTTGAAACATTTAGCCAAACAGTGATGTCTTGTGATGTTCGGGCAATACTTTGCTGTTACACCAAAATACATGTGTCTGGCTGATTGATAGTGGCAGATTGTCGTGGAGCACCTCAACACGGTAATTAAGATGTTATGGGTCAATAAAGGATGCATGGAGATAAGACTTTACCTTGAGATATCGCGCACAGGAGATGTTGCTCGTCTAAGCTGCAAGCCAGCCTCTTGGTCTAGAACTGAGTATCAGCAGTTCAGTAGTTCTTTATCTTGACAGTTGTTTCAACCGAGGGTTATCATTTTTTAGAAGTATGTCTGGTTAGCGAGCTTTAGTCATGTTCGAAATAAATTTTTTTAGGCGTTTACACCCAGGACTGGGGGTGGGTTGAGGAGAACCAAAGGATTTTTGGACACTGCATCTCTGAGGGCCAGCAGCCCCATGATTCCCTACCAGCTCAGTATATGCTCATATGAGCCATTATTAGTGGCATATGAGGAGGATGTGTGGCAAGAGTCTTGCATGAGGATCTGTAAAACCAGCACAGAGCCTGTCCGCACCCGAGGTGAAGTACGGAGTAGCTCCTTATACAGATCACAATGGCCTTAACCTACCCTCACGCCTGTGACTGAAATCACAGCATCACGATATCAGATAATTTTTTAGATTCCTGGAAATTTACTGAGTATAAACAATGAGGAAGGGAAGTGACCACTCATTCTAGTTAGTCAAGAAGGTGTTTCAGTAGATACCCAGTGGGACAAATAATCACATATAATCATGAATGTATGACTGTTTATAGTAGCAACAGATATCTTTGCAGCTAGCAGAGCTGTGTTGTCTAAGCCATTTATTGTAAATACTCTGGAAACTCCTATGTAGAAAGCACTCAAGTGGGTTCTATCCAATACAGCACTTAACCTCCTTCACAAATGCATCTATACATCTTGCTATGCAGGTGTGAAAGGTAATGAATGAGCAGACCAACTACCAAGTAATGTATCCACTCATGTGGGATGAAGCATGGATAGAACAGATATCATCAATGCTGAAAGGACTAGGTTAGTGGATAATAACGAATCTCTGAGACTTAACACTATTGCGCGAAGTGGGAGTAAAGCATGGTGAAGCATGTCTATGCCACCCTTAAGGCCGAGATAGGAGACAGCAATCAGTAGAGGTATCTTTGAATAGCTGCTGCATCAAGGACTCAACACAAATGGGAATACCCAAAGTGCAGTGAGGTACATTGTGATAACATAACTTTGTAACTGCTTATACCTTGCCTCATCACCACAAGGGATGAGATAAGATACAGAAATGTGACCCAGGACACATACAATTCTATTAATTGCATCATCAAGTGCCTTGCCAGCTGGCATAGGCATTCATGCATCTTCACAGATCTTGATCTTTGGTGTTCCGGATCAGTTCCACAGACATTCCTTTATGCCAGTCTTAAGACACCCACCATCATTTCTCTTGGACTGCCTCTGCCTCTTCTACCAGTGATCTTTCCAGTCGTCACAATATTTTCCAGTGCGCCTTTTCTCATCACATGACCAAAGAACTTTATTTGTCTCCTTCTCATTGTTGTATATAATGTTCTACTTCCATTAGCCTTTTTCAGGCAAAATTATTGCATGGGAAATGCTAATGAAAGTAGAAAACTGTACACATTTATAAACAAGAAAAAACATTCTTCATGAGAAGGGAGATGTTAGAAAACATGATGGCTGGAAATTCATAAGTAAAAGAGCATGCCAAAGCTGACACACTTCCAATGCTGACTTATCTGCAATACTGGACAGATATACTGTGTAAGTAGATATGCATGGATGATAGCTAGCCTCAAATGATACATTGTTATGGACATAAAATAAAGAGTTGTAGAGTCACTCACCAGCAGTCTTGAGAAGTGGAAGGATATTGTCCACAAACTTGCCATAGTGGGCCGTGCCAGATACTACAGTTGGCACTTTGGGATCAGCCACACGTTTAGCAACATGATAACCTACAGCAGTGTGTGGGTCCATCAGGTAGCCTGGAATAAATCAACATTAGACAAGCAATGAAAAGTCTAAATAAACTGAACTACAGTTGTGAATGTTTACTGAACTGAACTACAGTTGTTCATGTTTACTGAACTGAACTACAGTTGTTCATGTTTACTGAACTGAACTACAGTTGTTCATGTTTACTGAACTGAACTACAGTTGTTCATGTTCTACAGTTGTTCATGTTTACTGTACTGAACTACAGTTGTTCATGTTTACTGTAACTGAACTACAGTTGTTCATGTTTACTGTACTGAACTACAGTTGTTCATGTTTACTGTACTGAACTACAGTTGTTCATGTTTACTGTACTGAACTACAGTTGTTCATGTTTACTGAACTGAACTACAGTTGTTAATGTTTTCATAGTGGTTGCAGTTTCACAGCAAATAGATCAATCTTGCACTCTGAAAATTGTGGGGTTGTAGTACGGACACCTGGTTCAGTTCACAAGTGTTGTTTTCTACTGAGATCACTGGAGATCATCACTGAAGCTGTGGAGTTAGAGCTTTGTGTGACTTTCTTGGCAAGTGGTTACCCATTCTGGGCAGAGGGACCAAGTCATATGTGATAGCTGTTGCAATGAAATTGATCCTCTTAACTGTAGACATTAACTACCTTATTATTCAATCTCTACAACAATATGTCTTAATCTGTACAACATAACTCAATCCTACCAGACCTGAGACCCTGAACCTGCTGCCCCCTATACCTGAGCTCCTGGGCATTAACAGGAAAAACCAACATGATATACACAAATATTAGTTACATGCAAACAAGTGGTTAGAATAAGATGAAACTTGGAGACATTGTAGAAAATAGGTTTACCTTTCATCTAGCACCAATCTTCCACCTTTGTGTGCCTATCCAGCCAGCAGGATCAGCCTTGTTTCATAAAGTGAGCATCAGATGTTGCTGTCTGAGGGACAAGCCCCTTTCTCTTACTATCGATTTAGTTTTAAATATATAATTTTCAAGATTGTCCTCATCATCCGAGCTCACTGACTGAGTCACTTCAACTGGAAACGTATTCTTCATGAAATTCTGACTCCTCAGAGTCTGAATTACCCAAAGTATCAATCACCTATTGGACTGAAAAGCCTAGACCTACTTCACTTTCCTGTCGAAGTGCTTGGTTCATCAGCAGCTTGTTTCATTGTGAATTTTCAGAATTTGTTCACGTCAAACCACACAAAGTAAATCCAAACACATGTGGGATGCCATTCACAATGACTAACCACGAGATTTATCACGACTGGTTGGTTATTTTTAGTTTGTGACACATTTTATCAGGTAGTTAGCAAAGTATTGAAAATTAGGTAGAGCATTTTAGCTGCAGATTAGAAAATTACTGGAAAAGCAGTACAGCGGTCTGGTAGAGTTTAGCAGTCTATACAACAACTTGACTTTTACGGATAACGACTGAGTTCAACAAAATGACTTGGTCTATATGACAAAATAGGTAACTCAGTCTATGCAACATGACTGTTTTCACAGTTACAATCAGTTTATACAGTCACCTGACTCACTCTATACAATGACAGACTCAGTCTACACAACATAACCTAATATTTTAAACACAAACCTGTCCTGTTGAAAACATCCAGAATGGCCTCATTTGTGTTCTCCTCCGAGGCAAATTCAGCAACAAAGTTCTCTTGTATGGCATCTATGACCTAGAATTAGTAACACATGAATAATTTTGTTTTAAAGTACATAGTAGAAAGAAAAACAACCAAACTGGAATATTTAATGACAGCTCCAGAAATAAAGACACAAAAATACATCAGACACACACACACAAAAGTGAAAAAATGCATGCTTAGGGGAGGCGGGGAGGAGAGGGGAGGAGACAAAGAAGAAAGTTTTAAAAAATACAGAACAAAGAAAGCAAGACAAAGATAGAAAAAAATAAGGAAAGAAACAACACAAATAAATAAAACAATTACAGACATAAATCTTTTCAGTCCCAGGAGTTGAGCATTAGAGGTCCAAGGGGTAATCAAGAGAAACGTATAATCGACGCATCTTGCGTTCACTCGGCTCCTAGGTTGGAACATGTACACATATGATGCGTTCCTTGAGACTAAAAGAGTTGGCAAACTAACAGGGGAAAATCCCAGATAATATTTTAAAGTAGAGAAATTTTTATTCCGGCGGTACTCTCCCAGTGTACCCTGTAGTCCTGTGTGGGTAAAGAGGCATTCATGACTATGAATACTAGGTAAAAAATATAAAAGTTAAGACAGCACATTATGCAGAGGTTGGGATTTGTGGAGAAAAGAGACCAGGGGTCCAGACACACAGAAAACAATGGGATTATAGATTGTATAGAGAGCAGTGCCCCCCTCCCCGTTCCCACACACAGGTTCCAGTGCCCCCCAGAAAAAGACCACCACAGTTCAGATGTTGCTACAGACAGTCCAAATTTCACAAAATTGTTGTTTTGAGCTTCACTATCATTTTGTTTGTTGGTTTATAATTCCTGATGTTTTGTTGGCTGACAAAGACTTTTGTTGAAATGTTCAACTGTATTAAGGAGCAATGCGAGAGTTGAGTTAAGAACCAGCATCACAGAGAGAAAAGATCCAGAAGATGCCAACTACCAGGTACCTCAAAGAACAAAGTGAGATCAAATAGAAAATTTATATAGACAAATAAGATGTTAACCTTCTGCGAGGCTTGTACTCTTCCATTTGCTGATGCATCTCTGTAAAAATCAGTTACCATCTGAGGATCCTCGCCTGACAAGTGGTACAGTAGTCGCTCCAAGTTGGATGATGTGATGATGTCTATAGAGGGAGATATGGTTTTCTGTAAGAGAATGTAACAGCCAGCAATAATATAGCATAATTATCACAAAGTAACAACCATATCACAAATATAAAGTAAAAATCAGTTGACCCTTGTTATGCCAGCTGCGCATCGGATATGTGATTCCAGTTGCACATTGGAAATGTGATGCCAGTTGCACATCGGAAATGTGATGCCAGTTGCACATCGGATATGTGATGCCAGTTGCACATGGGATATCTGATGCCAGTTGCACATCAGATATGTGATGCCAGTTGCACATCAAAAATGTGATGCCAGTTGCACATCAGATATGTGATGCCAGTTGCACATCGGATATGTGATGCCAGTTGCACATCGGATATCTGATGCCAGTTGCACATCAGATATGTGATGCCAGTTGCACATCAGATATGTGATGCCAGTTGCACATCAAAAATGTGATGCCAGTTGCACATCAGATATGTGATGCCAGTTGCACATCAAAAATGTGATGCCAGTTGCACATCGGATATGTGATGCCAGTTGCACATCGGATATGTGATGCCAGTTGCACATCGGATATCTGATGCCAGTTGCACATCGGATATCTGATGTCAGTTGCACATCGGATATGTGATGGTAAACAATTTTTTTTTTTTTAAATTACTCAACACTCAGTGGTTTGAAAAGTTAAGAGTCGAGAGGACTAACTTCATTATTCCGGGTTTTGTCCCATATGACACTGACTCTCTCTACAGACTGGCTAGCCACCTCCCGAGAGCATTACACAAAGCACACATTCTGTAACTCCAGCAACTATTCATGGGGACCTCTATAAAAAGTACACTCGTGAACTGAATGATGCATCTGTGAAACAAACCCATGACCTTCAGAGTGTGAGGCAAATGGCATGACCACTTTTCGGTAGACCTATATTTTATAAACTAATTGGTACTGGGTGATGTCAACATCACACCAGCTGCCTTTACTTCCCAGGTTTGTAACTGGTACCCATTTAAGGCCCGGTCTACCTGGGAGCCAGGGTCATTTCTGAAAAAAAAAAAAAAAGTCCTACTCTGTCAGGACCTGAACTCACAACCTTCTGATCCATCTAGCCACTACATCACAGCAGCTCCAGTCTCCGCCTTAGTGATAAAAAAATCAACACCCCTCCTCCTTTTCGGGGGGGGGGGGGGGGGGGGGGGTGGGGGGGGGGGGGGGGTAGTATCTTTTTAATTTTTAATAACATATTTTCTCTTTCTGTTTTCTGTTTATTTATTTGTATTTCTTTTCACAATAGCTTTTCCTGCCCCTTTGATTTTGCAGGTTAAATTTTTCACAGTATGTGTTAACCAGTTTGGCACCAAATCTCTGTAATTTACTCTTACCTGCCCAAATAGGTTCAAAGTTGGAGTGAATCTGCCTGAGAGGCAAAGAACCAACAGTCTGCATATAAATAAGGCAGATATGTAAAATAGATGCATACGTAAAACTCAAGTTCTGGAACAAATATAAAGTCCTGAAGTAGACGAACAATGAGAAATTTCCACTGGAGTTTACAGTCGGTAAATGCCAAGAAGAAGAGGAAGACTCTAAACCATGCTTGGTAGGTTACATAACACCCTGTTAAAACAATACCGGTGGCAAATGTCAAAGGCAAAACAGCAAAAGGTAGACAGGTATACAGGTGGGAAGACACCATCAAGAGATAAATCAACAGCAGTTTAAGAATATGTGTAACTGAGACAAGAGACATAGAGTGTTGGAGATTCATTGCAGCCAACTGTCAATGTGAAGATGGCACTTGGTTGATTGGTAAGTTAAAGTGTTTTTAGTCACTCTCCTTATAGGGTCGAGTAACGAGGGGGCATGCAGCCCTGTGGCTCAAAAGTTAGTGATGAATTTAACAATTTCATGATCCATGAGTACTTGGGTTTGATTACACGTATGGACGGCTTAATGAGGTAATACTCCCAAAGACAGCAGTGGTACACTGTACCCTACCTTCATTGAGGAGAGGACACATCATTCATTTTAGCACATGTGTAGATATTAATATAGTGATAAAGTGAATTATTCAACAAATTACAAAAATGTGCAATTGCAGAACTAAACAAAACATAAATGTCTACAACAAAAGAGTACAACCAAACACAAATGTGTACAACCGAAGCCATAGACTCTTCACCTTGAGTGTGTAGGTCGAGGGACTGTACACACCAGAATGTATGAAGTCAGTGAGGATATTGTTGCTGTTGGATGCACAGATGAGCTTCCTCAGAGGAAATCCCATTTCCTGAAACACATGGTTATTATTAACAACAACAGTTATAACACAAAGAAGATGGAAGTATACTGGGAACATCATGAGGAGAAGGGGACGGAGAATAACAAAGCAGGCACTGATGAAGACAATGAGGACATGCAAGAGAAAAACTGACACAAGCATTGTTGAGAGAGATCAAGGAAGCTCGACTAGATTCCACCCATGATATTGAAACGACTGAACAGGACAGATCAAAATAGAAACAGATTTTGATGCCTATCTGGTGTATCAGCAGTACAACAGGGTGATGATGATGTTACATTATGAAAAAAAAAAAAAAGATGGTAAGCCAGTCATGAAAAGGAAATTCCTGTATAAGTTCCAGGGTCGTATTTTGGGGGAAAAAGAAATAGACTCACTACCTGCTTAACTCTTTGAGTGCCAAGGAACGCATCATACGTTCATAGGTTCCTACCTAGAAGCCCAATGAATGCAAGATGCGCTGACTTTATGACTCTCTCCAGATTAGAACAAGTCATTATCCTCCGCCTCAGAACAGGGCACAACCGATTACTTAACCACATGTACACAAAATTCAAGATAGGCGCATCAGCCATGTGCACCTTTGGAAAGGTGCCCCAGACAACAGAGCATGTACTCCAGGACTGCAACAAATTTGACACATTAAGGCAAACCTTTTGGCCAGAAAGAACAACAGTGGAACGTAAACTCTATGGACCACTGAATAAATTAACAACAACAGTGAAATTTATACAAGAGACAAAATTGCTGATATAGACAACTTATTTCAGGTGAACGAAAGAACAAGAAGAGATGACTCTCTTTACTACACCCTGGGCCTCTGATGCTTAACCCCCTAGGACTCAAAGAGTTAACATGCGTGTCCTAAAAGGTGACTAATTAGGGATTGTTTTTTTCTGAAGTCAGAGCGCATGTGCTTGAGTGGTGAGGCACCAACTGTTTGTATATAAATAAGCCAGTCCTGTTAAATTGTTGTGTACACAAAATTCAAGTTTTGAAACAAGAATGAAGTCCAGAAATGGACAAACAACTGGAACTTTCTGCTGGTCTGCTGGAGTTTACAGACAGAAGTAAATGAAGAAAGAAGAAGAAGAAGAAAAAGGGGGTGGTAGTGGTGGGAGAGGGGAGGCAAGGTGGGGGGGGGGGGGGGTTAAAATTACTGGCCTGATGCCGACCACAGCATCCATTGACCAACCTACAACCATTTACCTATTTCTTCTATGCATTCCTTACCCACACAGCTCTGCAGGCTAGACCATAATTTATGGGTACCCAAATTACACTTTTTTTGAAGGTTGAACAGGTATCTGGGTTGGTTTGCCATCTAGGATGAGGTTCTTGAAGATCCTGAGCGGTTGACACTTTTAAGAAGCAGCCCAGAGGGAAAACAAAGATGACGACTCCACCCACCTCAAGGTATGGAGATGTGTCCTTTTTTAAAGACACCTAAGATCTTGGATCTGTCTGGAATGCTGTGATGATAATCCTTTCATATCACTAATCTCTAATCACGCGCCTAAGAGAACTGCAAATACACTTAAGCTACATAACCAATGGCTTAGAGATTACGAACAGAGGTTCATAACTCTGAAATAGCCAGTTCAATTCAGCTGCCAAAATTTGCAGCAGACCACTTTGCATGCATTGATTTCAACAATGGCATTAGCATCAAACAGTGAGAAAGCAATTTCAGCAAATTACTCAAAGTAAAATTGCATAGTAAAACCAGAAACAGACAACAAATACTGGGATTGATGTGTTATGTCCTGTTTTGCTTATTCTTCTTCTTCTTCAGCACTCATGCTTAAATGGGTATTTGCAGATTATGTTATGGTTTACAGCTAGGCTGCAAAATCTGTACCTTTTGGCCAGACCCATCCGGTTTTAGTAAACTCATAAATAATCTTTTTTTTTAAATTTTAATGACATGCTTACTACGGGACAGTGGGTCTGTTTTTTTTTTTCTCCCCTTCAATGGGCTTACTACGGGACAGTGGGTCTCTTCTTTTGTATTTAATGGAGTTACTATGGGACAGTGTGTCTATTATTTTTTTCTCCCCTACAATGGGCTTACTACGGGACAGTGGATCTCTTCTCTTTTATTTAATGGAGTTACTATGGGACAGTGTGTCTATTATTTTTTTTCTCCCCTACAATGGGCTTACTACGGGACAGTGGGTCTGTTCTTTTTTTCTCCCCTACAATGGGCTTACTATGGGACAGTGGGTCTGTTCTTTTTTTCTCCCCCACAGTGGGCTTACTACGGGACAGTAGGTCTGTTCTTTTTTCTTTAATGGGGTTACTATAGGACAGTGTGTCTATTATTTTTTTCTCCCCCCCCCCCAATGGGCTTACTATGGGACAGTGGGTCTGTTCTTTTCTCTCCCCCTCAGTAGGCTTACTACGGGACAGTGGGTCTGTTCTTTTTTTCTCCCCTACAATGGGCTTACTATGGGACAGTGAGTCTGTTCTTTTTTTTTCTCCCCCACAGTGGGCTTACTATGGGACAGTGGGTCTATTCTTTTTTCCTCCCACAGTTGGCTTACAACATGACAGTGGGTCTGTTCTTTTTTTCTCCCCCACAGTGGGCTTACTATGGGACAGTGGGTCTATTCTTTTTTCCTCCCACAGTTGGCTTACAACATGACAGTGGGTCTGTTCTTTTTTCTCCCCCACAGTGGGCTTACTATGGGACAGTGGGTCTATTCTTTTTTCCTCCCACAGTTGGCTTACAACATGACAGTGGGTCTATTCTTTTTTCCTCCCACAGTGGGCTTACTACATGACAGTGGGTCTATTCTTTTTTTCTCTCCCACAGTGGGCTTACTACATGACAGTGGGTCTGTTCTTTTTTTTTCTCCCCCACAGTGGGCTTACTACATGACAGTGGGTCTGTTCTTTTTTTTTCTCCCCCACAGTGGGCTTACTACATGACAGTGGGTCTGTTCTTTTTTTTTCTCCCCCACAGTGGGCTTACTACATGACAGTGGGTCTATTCTTTTTTTCTCCCCTACAATGGGCTTACTACGGGACAGTGGGTCTGTTCTTTTTTTCTCCCCTACAATGGGCTTACTATGGGACAGTGGGTCTGTTCTTTTTTTCTCCCCCACAGTGGGCTTACTACGGGACAGTAGGTCTGTTCTTTTTTCTTTAATGGGGTTACTATAGGACAGTGTGTCTATTATTTTTTTCTCCCCCCCCCCCCAATGGGCTTACTATGGGACAGTGGGTCTGTTCTTTTCTCTCCCCCTCAGTAGGCTTACTACGGGACAGTGGGTCTGTTCTTTTTTTCTCCCCTACAATGGGCTTACTATGGGACAGTGAGTCTGTTCTTTTTTTTTCTCCCCCACAGTGGGCTTACTATGGGACAGTGGGTCTATTCTTTTTTCCTCCCACAGTTGGCTTACAACATGACAGTGGGTCTGTTCTTTTTTTCTCCCCCACAGTGGGCTTACTATGGGACAGTGGGTCTATTCTTTTTTCCTCCCACAGTTGGCTTACAACATGACAGTGGGTCTGTTCTTTTTTTCTCCCCCACAGTGGGCTTACTATGGGACAGTGGGTCTATTCTTTTTTCCTCCCACAGTTGGCTTACAACATGACAGTGGGTCTATTCTTTTTTCCTCCCACAGTGGGCTTACTACATGACAGTGGGTCTATTCTTTTTTTCTCTCCCACAGTGGGCTTACTACATGACAGTGGGTCTGTTCTTTTTTTTTCTCCCCCACAGTGGGCTTACTACATGACAGTGGGTCTGTTCTTTTTTTTCTCCCCCACAGTGGGCTTACTACATGACAGTGGGTCTGTTCTTTTTTTTTCTCCCCCACAGTGGGCTTACTACATGACAGTGGGTCTATTCTTTTTTTCTCCCCCACAGTGGGCTTACTACATGACAGTGGGTCTATTCTTTTTTTCTCCCCCACAGTGGGCTTACTATGGGACAGTGGGTCTATTCTTTTTTCCTCCCACAGTTGGCTTACAACATGACAGTGAGTCTGTTCTTTTTTTTTTCTCCCCCACAGTGGGCTTACTATGGGACAGTGGGTCTATTCTTTTTTCTCCCCCACAGTGGGGGATAGGGTTAGTCCCTCTATCTAAACTAAATTACCCACCTTGACATAGAAGGCACTGAGAATGTTTCCAAAGTTGCCAGTTGGAACGCACAAATCAATTGGATCACCTAGAGCAATATGACCATCACGAACCAGGTTTAGGTAAGCCGTGGCATGATACAGAACCTGAGGGAGGATACGACCCCAGTTGATGGAGTTGGCTGCACTGGAGTTGAGATATTATAAATTAGTCTGTTTTGATTGTGATTTTGTAAACATGCAGAACTGGCATATGATTGCTAATTTGACCTCTACAATCCCCGCATTAGATTACAGGTCACTTTTTAACTGTAGGAGTGTCCTAATATAGATGTGTTACGGGACTGAACAAGGTTTCTTGGATTAGTTTCTGGCTGACTCTCATCCTAGAGGTGTTCATCTTATGAACATAAATCTTGAATGGAAAAGAACAATGACCATTACCACTGAACCCATTTCCCTGTGTGGGTTCCAGGGGGGAGTGGAGTGGGGGGTGGTGGTGTTAGATCTATCTCCCCTCCCTGCCCCCAAGAAGTATGTCCTAAAAAGTGACTAAAGTGGGAGTACATATACCTGAGATGGGAGTAATAAACTGTTTACCTACAATAAGCCAGATATGTAAAATTGATGCACAGGCAAAACTCAAGTTCTGGAACACTGGAACAACACCAATGTAACTGCCAGCTGCTTTTACTTCCCAGGACTTTGCCTGGTACCCATTTAAGACTGGGTCAACCTGGAAGCCAAGGCCATTTAAAAAACAATATTATGGTTTTATTCAGCCACTACACCATGGGAGTTCCCCATAAGAGACCAGAGAGTTTGTAAAAACCCCACAGCCCCCCCCCCCTCCCCCCAGCAAGAATTTTAAACAAAAATTACCACCAGGGCAGTGCAAGCAATATGCAGTAGTGATAATTATCAAAAGCCATACTTGGCATATTTTTTCTTATTTTTTTCTTAGCATTCACTCAGAGGATGACACTGAAAAAGCACAGACAAGGCTTTAAGAATCCCTCGGAACTCTAGAGAGGTGGTCCAATAGCTGGTACATGCCTGTAAATGGGGCCAAAACCACACACACCATTTTCAGTCTCTCTACCAAACCCCAGAAGGTTTCACTTAGATATGGCAGCCAGGCACTGATACATGATGACTCACCGTCATATTTATGAGTAACCTTTGACTCAAGACTCACATGGAGAAAACAGATAGAAAAGACACAGAGCAAGGGACTCAAGAGAACACAACTGATGAGGAAGTTAGCTGGAACAGACTGGGGGGCAAACCTCAATGTCCTTAAGAGGACCTATACAGGCTATGTGAGGCCAACACTAGAATATGGAATAGCTGCTTGGGGCACAGCAGCTAAATCAAATTTTCAGAAAGTCTCAAAGATCCAAAACCATGCTCTCCGTATTATGACAGGGGCAATGCGCTCCACGCCCATATCAGATATGAAAACAATTACTGGTCTCCATAATCTGGAAGATAGGAGAGACACAAAGATCCTCACCCAGCTCTCCAAATACCACCACTTTCAAGAACAACCCATGTACAGCCGACTGCAGAAACCCCAGAAGGCTAGACTAAAGAGAACTTGCTTTATTAAGAACGCAAATGCCAAGCTCGCTGTCCTTAAACTCTCTCCCATAATACCAAATGTTCCACTTAAACCTTACAACGACTGCCCCGCTTGGCTTAGGGATAGCCTACCAACAGTCAGAACCACTGTAACAGGGGTCTCCTCCAAATCATCAATGAGCAGCACTGATATGAAATCAACTACAGAACGAGAGATCAATAGACTTTACCCACACCAGAGTTGGATTCGAGTGTATACAGATGGTTCAGCCAAGAGAGCAGTAAGAGACGGAGGAGGAGGAATATACATAGAATGCCCAAATGGTTTTAAAATCAACCAGGCTGTACCAACAGGTTCATATTCCTCCAATTACAGAGCAGAGGCAGAAGCACTTCTAGCCGCATGTTCTTTCCTGAATGGACAACAGCACAGCAAATATAGCAGAGTGGTCTTTCTGACTGATGCTATGTCAGTTCTACAAGCAATTGTTAACCCAAAAGACACTCAGTTTGTAGACTTGACGCAACAGCTGATTTACTTAGGCTCTTCAGTAGAACAATCTGTACTGCAGTGGATTCCAGGTTACTGTGGCTTGGAAGGCAATGAAATAGCGGACAGATTGGCCAGAAGCGGCAGTGACATGGTACAACCAAATAGCGACTTAACCCACCAAGAGATGAAAACACTAATACAATCTAGTATCCAAGAAAGGTGGCTGGATACCCACAACAGATTTTCTCCCCAAGACTCACTTCATCGCCTCTCTAGAGAGGGACAGTCTATTATATTCAGACTAAGGACAGGGCACAACAGATTTCGTCAACATATGTTCAAATTTTACGGTGTAGGAAATACGGAGACGTGTCCCTGCAGCGTGGCACCCGAAAATGCTGAGCATGTGCTTCAACACTGTCAACTGTATGCTGACAACAGAGACGCAATCTGGCCTGTTCCAACCACAATAAAGACAAAACTGTATGGTACACAAGAGGATATGGATTGCACGATAGCTTTCATAAAGGCTACCGGCCTCCTGATATAATTTTTCTGACAGAAGGATCGAAGAAGAAGAAGAAGAAGAAGAAGACTGGCTGTGAACTCTGGCAGAGCAGTTGTAGTTAGTTTTTCATCCATATCTGGACTTTGATTTTGATCTAGAACTTGAAATTTGCATGCATAACCATTTTAAAGGTGTGACTTATTGGAATGCAGACTGTGGACTCCTCACCTCTCAGGCAGATGCACTCTGAAATTGATGCTTGTTAGAGGCAGCGAGCCTATTCCACCCCCTCCGCCCTCAGGTTAAAATGTGGTGCTGGAACCCACTCAGAGATACTTAGCGCAAGGTACCATCTCCACATTTGTATAGATCAATCAGTGGGTGATGTAATCATATCAATTTAACTATTATATTCATCATCATATGCCAAGCTGATAAGCACAGGCTGCAATGTTTTGCCTTCTCACTTGATCATGAGAATCATGAATCAGGTCAGAGTTCTTGCCTTGCTCCATCCATCAGGTCAGACCTTCCAGGTATTTATCTCTCTGCCTTGTTCTATTGTTCTCTTGCTTTCTATTCTCAAAACCCTGCTTATTCAGTCGTGCTTGAACAAAGGAGAAAAAATGCACCCATCCATTGTCATTACCAGAAATCAGAACACTTATCAGGGGAAAATACAAGGAATTGTGGAGAGAACAAACTAACAGTAAACATCCACAAGACCCCATCAGCAGACTCAACAGTGAGCAACATACAACAATTTTCTGACTACGAACAGGACACTGCAGGCTTAACTACCACATGCATAAAATAAAGATTGTACAGTCCCCACAGTGTGCCTGTCAAACAGGACCACAAACACTTGAGCACATTCTGCAGACCTGCCCACTCTACCTACAACTTTGAAAAGACACCTGGCCTCAAGAGCAAAGTGTGCAGAACAAGCTATGGGGAACCATGAAGGACCTGCTACTGACATGCAAGTTCATAGAGGCAACGCACCTGGTGGTCTGATCTGAGCATACGAAACCGAACGCAAAGAAGACAACAGTGCTTATTTTTTTTTTCCCAACAAATTTCTGATTGCCGTTTTAGACTGGGTTAACCAGGCAGCCCAGATCAATTTTTAAAGCTGTGTGTTGTTACCTTAATCGACACAATCCCAGTGTTTGTTTCATCTTTTCATCTACAAATATTTTTTTCACTGTATGTTGGCAGAAATCAAAGTCAGCTTCCACACCTGCAAGAGTGACAAAATCAGACAAGCATTTTAATATCATCATTCATTGTCAGTATTTCTTTTCAAAAGAAAAATTCATATAATTTTATAATAATTAATTGAACAGTCAGTCATGATAATCTGAGAAGGGCTGTAGGAGTGACCATAAGAGATAAGATCAGAAATGAGATCATAAGAGAAAAAGTCGGCACAGAACCAATTCTGGATTACATACGAAGACAGCAAGTGAAATGGTTTGCCCACTTAGAGAGAATGCCTTGTGACACCATACCATACAAAGAATACATGGAAAGAGTAGAAGGACGTAGAGCAAGAGGTAGACCAAGAACAAGATGCAAGGATAACATCAGAGAAACTCTACAACAGCACGATGTGCCTATGGTCGAGGCGGCCAGAAGAGCTAGAAACAGAACCTTATATCTCCCTCGACACCCACAGCGGTAAAAGAGGAAGTGAAGAAGAAGAAGAAGAATCATGATAATTAGTTCTGGTACTGATCTTGTACTCTCCAATGTTTTCTCAGATTAGAGATGGTAATTAATCTTGGAAGATTACATTGATAGTTTCTCTGTACATTTCACATAGTTTCCATGGCACTTACCTATAACTTTGATGTTTCTGCCTTGCACTGTGACTGTTTGGTGTTTCTGAATGTCACTGATGTTCTTTACCGGGTAGAGAACAACCACACCTACTGGAGCTCCACCTGACAAGGAAAAGAATATGCTTTTCTTTGGTAACTGTTGTTTTGACACTGGAGCAAGTTCTATTCTTTAAATCTTTTGTGAAAATATTTTTTTTTTTTCAAATTTGTTTTTTATTTTCCATTTCCAGGACTGCAGTCTGTAGGATAAACATCTCAAGAATGAGAGTCAAACAAGTACAGAAACTCCATTCAGCCATAGAGCTGTATAGTTAAGTTATACTGCAAAATGTTATGAAGTAACCTGCAGTCCAGTGTTCGTGGGTTTTCAGATTGTCAATATCTGCTTTGTGCTGCTAGATATTGTAGGTTGTTGATCTAGTGCACAGGCACTTGTGTGGTATGATGTGATGTTGTGAAGTCTGAAGGGGCGCAATACAGATTTTTAAAGTTAATGATAAAAATATGCATTTTTAAAATTGTTCACGTTTGTAAGGTTCAAAATTCATAGAATTAATTACACACACAATTGTTTCTAATTTGTAAGCAATTTAGCATTAAAAAGATTATAACAAACACCCCACCCCATGAATATGTGTAAGAGAAAATGAGTTTTGAACCTAAAAATAGCAATGTTTGACACACAACAGCTGCTGTTTCCAAATAATATACTCATCATCATGTAGCAGGTCCTTTGCAGAACATCGCTCTCATCACAGTCTGCCTGAAAGAAACACGGTCTCTCGCCTATTTCTCCTGCCTCATATACTTTCATACTCAAGAAGTCACTTATATCCTGTGCCCATCTTCGTGTTGGTCGGCCCCTGCCCCTCCTTCCTGGTACCATGCCTTCTGCTATAGTTTTTTCCAATCCGTTGTGGCGCTTGATATGACCAAAATATTTCAGCTTCCAAATAATATACTAGGACCTACTATATATCAGTTTAAAGGGCATGCCAAGTACTATTCTGATTATTATATATAAAAGCAAAATCAAGCTGTGCCTGCTGGATTCAAAACTTAGAAAGCACTGACCATACTGATATTTCATTATCTCTGTCGTTTGGCACTTAGAGATTTCCTTGGTGGCAAATATATTACTCATGTGCAGTGTATGGACTTTTTCCGAAATGTGGACTTGTTTACCTTTCAAGGTTTACATGCCAATGCTTTTAAATTGAGTGAAAATCTTTGTTAAAGTGCCTTTATTATGATTTTTAAAAAAAGGGATACATCTTTGGACAAAAGAAGAAACATCAAAACCTAGAGAAATTTATGCAAGAAAACATAGCAAAATACTGATTTTGAGGAAAGTTTCTTACTCTGATATTAAACTTACAATGTCTCTGTCTCACTCTTTCTCTCGAATAATAATTTAAAAAAAAATTAGTTGCGTATTCTTTACAGGACACACACAAGGAGCAGTTTTTGTGAAAATAATATTTCTGCCTTATAGATCTTACTGATCAATCTTATTGGTGTGTAAATGAGAATGTCTCACTTGCATGTCTGCTAAATCCATCAAGTGTGGCACTGCCTGTGTCACCAGATGTTGCTGCCAGGATCAAATACCTAGACATGACGAAATAATATACATAAAGAGTGAACTAGACATTAGATTTATCCTTAATTCATTAGTTGTGAAAACTCAGAGAATGTCCAAAGGAATGTATTTGTATTTGCTTGTCTGTATTTCAAATGCATTTAACAGCACAGGTTTTACATAACATTTTAACCCTCTTTTTCACACTACGGTTGACATCTTCTTACTTGTGAGTATATTCTGCATCTTGCTAAAGGCTAATACTTGGGTGTATGCTACTAATTCAGACTGCCTGTGAATATGTTTATGTTGATGTTTTATTGTGTATGTGCGTACATGTGTATAAGCTACTTTAATCTGACATTATTATACTCTAAAATGAACACTGGCTTTTGATTTGTATTTTTTTTTTTGAATCTCAAATTAAATCATTGGTTACTCATCTCATTAGGCAATAATCGTATCTAAAAAATATATTCCTAATTTTCTTAAACCCTATAACAGTATCAATGATGTGATTTCTTTTTTATCATTTGAAAATATAAACACAATGCTTATTCAGTGTTTCAAATATTTCAGTCAACGATAATTCATATTTGACCTCAGCTCCAACTGGCTTCATGACTCTAGTAAAGAAACGAGCCTTCAGTTGTATGGCAAAATCCTTGTAGAGGTCAAAGGTAACTTGTATTCATTTATTAGCCTCTGCCTAAATTTAGTATTAAGATTTCTGTACAGATTTTCCCGTTGCAGTGCTGTCCGGGTAAGCTTGCTCTTCCTTAGATAGGTTAAAAATATAAAGTAGTCAGTTGCCAACAATCCAAAGGACACCCAAGTCAACCTCACCTCTAATTGTTGCTCACTGAAAACTAACATGGCTTTTGATCACCAAGTCAACCTCACCTCCAATTGTTGCTCACTGAAAACTAACATGGCTCTGGATAACCCAGTCAACCTTACCTCCAAATGTTGCTCCATGAAAACTAAAACGGCTTTGGATCACCAGGTGGGATGGGATCCATCTGGTTAATCCTCCCATAAACTGTGACAGGCTGGCAGTGGATAAAAGCTAACTCAAAGAAACAACAAGAAGAGAAATCAGAAACATGGTGCTGAGCAGCAGAACAGGTATTAGAAAAAGAAGGAGTGTGTATACATTTTTGTGGTGGACTATGCATATTAACAATTTTCAGTCTTTCAACTGACAGTCACCATACTTGTCATCAGCTCCCACTTGCTTCATGGCTTTAGTGAAGAAACGGGGCATCAGCTGCAAGGCAAAGTCCTTGAAAGAAGCTGTGGGGCCATGGAATAATTCTTGAGTGTAAATGTTCTCTTCCAAGTGGACCACAGGAGCTATGTCTGAGCTGTGGAATTGTAAACAGTTTATCATTTGTATATTTATGTACAATTGTGGTGGTATTGTAGTAAGTGCACTTGTTTGTCAAGATAGTGAAGAAAGCTGGCAAAATGTTAATGCTCACCATCTTCTTCTTTTTGTTCTTCTAGGTAATAACATCAGGAGGTACATGGCACTGAGATTTGTCTGATTGGCTGTGACATCTTTCTGGACTATGCACCTTTCAGCCCGACGCCTCTGACTTAGCATTCTTTTCTGTTAGAGTGAGCTTCCTTAGCCCATGGTTGACCAAGACCTATCCACTAGACAATGGAGGTTTGTGAATGGAGCTTTACTCCTTGATGGATTACTGTCCCCAGCTGATGAGCTCCATCTACCTGGCAAATATCTGTTTTACAAAGATGGGGTCATCTAACCCACATCTAGCCTCCAACCTGGAGGACCATGGTGTCTTTCTTAGTCTGTAATATTCCCTTTGACTTATCCAACTTGGTAGGCCTTGCTGGTAGCTGCACCACTGCCAGCTTGGCTCTCAGGGTCACTGAGAAACTCAAGTTCTCCCACCTCGGTAAGGCAGAGACACCTTCAGAGAAGACTGCATCACACACTAAGGACATTCTGGTCTATTGAAAATATAGATCTTGCATTATTTGCCTGCAGGAAAAAGATCCTCCTCGTACTTGACACATGGCCCAGGGCTCAACCCAGCATGATAACAATGGATGACAGATTATTTTCTGAATATTGCAGGAAATCGTCTATGAAGGAAAAAATAATGAGGTAGGGAAATGCCCACCCCACCTCATATGTCATGGCCTAGAATATGTGAAGAGCTAACACTTCAAGTCCCTGTGTTAGTATTTGCATGGTTTGATATCTTCTCATGACATTTCAGTATTTGTGAAATTTCCAGGATTATAAAATTGCTAAACATTTTTGCTAACCTCTAAGCCACAGAACCGTACATAAGAAATACAAGAACACCCTGATCCTCCACCCACTTAGGACAGCTGGTCAGTTTCTGTAACTGTAGGCTGCCCCAGTTTAACTGTTTGATATCACTGACACAACCGCTGGTATAAACAGCTATAACACAAAGAAGATAGGGCTATATTATGAATATAACACTTTATTTTCAAAGGATTAGGAATTTGGCAGGCAGGTCTGCCCTTTTAGTTTCATTCCTTACCCACAGTTATCTGTGTGTAAAGCATTTCATCCATAATAACAAACATTTTCAACGACATCCCCAAATTCACCCAACAGGCACTGAATAACCAAATACAACAAAGCATAATAGGGTCACCAAGCTGGCAGTTCATATATGCCTTCAATTTTAGTTAGCCAGTTTTAACCTCTGACTAGGGAGCTAGCTTCATCCTTGCCAACACTGATTATAATTATGGCAACAAATTGTGTTGCTATTTCATTGTGTTGTGTTTGGTTTTAGTATTTTATGTCGTCTGTTTCTGTCTGGTTGGCCAGGTCGTGTCCTTGTCATTGTGCAGCTTTGGATCTGATTATGTTGCGTGTTCCTTAGTGTGCCATCCTTTTATGGTGTTACTGCCCCTGATTGTGATGTTACTGCCCCTGATTGTGGTGTTACTGCCCCTGATTGTGATGTTACTGCCCCTGATTGTGGTGTTACTGCCCCTGATTGTGGTGTTACTGCCCCTGATTGTGGTGTTACTGCCCCTGATTGTGGTGTTACTGCCCCTGATTGTGGTGTTACTGCCCCTGATTGTGGTGTTACTGCCCCTGATTGTGATGTTACTGCCCCTGATTGTGGTGTTACTGCCCCTGATTGTGGTGTTACTGCCCCTGATTGTGGTGTTACTGCCCCTGATTGTGATGTTACTGCCACTGCTTGGGGTGTTACTGCCCCTGATTGGGTTGATGTCTAAGACAAACCCTAAAATGGTTACTGTTAAGAAAAGTCAAAGGTCACTGGACTGGACTCCATCCATGATATGGAAACGACTGCACAGGATAGAATGGAGTCTAGGAACAGACAGCAGACCTTGTGATTATGAGGACTCTCATCACAGCAGTGTAGACACATCCATAGATGCTTCAATCTCCCCCTCAATAGCTACACAATTATACAAATGATCAAACATATCCTGTGTTGATTATTCAGACATTTTAAGCTATTAGTTAAATTTATGTCTGGATGCTTCAGACAAGCTCTAAGTGACATATAATGGTACAACAAGATGATGATGATGATGAAGACATGGTTGAAAAAGTATTTAGGATTTGTTCCTGTGGGATTGGTGTCCAAATATTGACTCCTTGGGTCAGTGAATATCTAATCCTCAGTCTGCAATCCTAGAGAGGAAAATTAGGAAAGACAAAAGAAAGTATTAAAACTGTTCTTCTGCAGCCAAGAATTACATCACAGATAAAACAAGCATGACAATTTTGTACTCACTGTTCAAATAAACCTTCTGTATATGATTTGGATAGAAAGGTATTTAACTCTTGTGGGGAAATATCCAGAGGATGTATCCAAGTTTCTAGAATCCTCTGAGCTCTTTCTTTGTAGTTCAAGGAAACTAGAATGTGAAGGTCATTCAAAGAAAATGTGGGCCTCCTTCCAGCTTTTACATACAGACCTCCATCTTGTGCAAGACCTGGCAATTAAACATATTCCATTATATAAAAGCAATAGGGAAACTATCTGTTCGCTGTCAACATCAGAAGGGAGATAGATTGATTGGTCTATTTTCTTTCCTTTTCTTTTCATTCTGTCTGCCAGTGGTTTTTAGATGAAGTCTGTTGTGTGACACATGTCTTCCACTGTTCCATACAGTTTGGTTCCCACTGGAATGCCAACCAGTCCAACCTGGCAGCTCTCTACTGCATGTAGAGAGCATGACATTTTCTGCCCAAGTGATGTGATTATCTATATAGATGGCTCTGTGTTAACTCTTTAAGTCCCGAAGAATGCATCATACGTTCATAGGTTCCTACCTAGAAGCCCAATGAACGCATAATGTGCCAATCGTATGACTCTCTTTACTATCCACTGGGCCTGTGATGCTAAACCCCCTGGGACTCAAAGAGTTAAGAGGCAGACGAAGTGCATGGGAGTTCATAGCAAAAGTGAATGGATGTCACTTAGTGCAAAAAATCTTTGCATATATCACAATGTCTAGTTCAAGAATGGAGGTGGAGGCAGTCACTGCGGCCTTCCTCTGGCTTGAGAATCAGCTGTACACATATGCCGTGATTGTAACTAACTCACAGAGCATGTTGAGAAAGGTGGAGACAGGCATGCTTCATGCAGAGTGGCAATCATCACTTCAGAAATCCTGGGTAGTTAGCATCTTTTGGATATTTACTCCAGGTAATGCTAGTGTGTTGGGAAATGAGCAGGCAGACAGACTGGCTGGCTCTGCACCACGTGGTAGTGATTTGATGTATGACAATCTAGATATTGTGAGGGCCCTTTGGGAGTGAGTGAACAGTGCAGAGGCACAGATAGATCATTACGGTCTGAGGAGAATGGCGCTGCAAGGAGATGTCAGGGGATCTGGCAGATGCTCAACACTCAGGGGAAGGGCGAGACACATATACAATCAGACAGTTACTGGTGCCATTGAAATTGCAACTCTTCATTTGCTGCTGAAAATGGGGACAGAGCGTTTAAGGGGGTGTCCCAAGTGCTGTGATGTCGATTCTCAATTTAACATTCAACATTCAGAGAGCATGCCTGTAGCACATGCACAGTAGTATGTGGTGTCTGTCCAGATGAGCAAAGTTCTGAACAACCAGTCGTTAATTTCCTCTACACGTGGCTGCAGAGTCCGTTGTGCCCAATTCACAGTATAAATATAATTGACTGATTCTTTCTTGTGAGGAGGTTAACTATGTCTTCAGGAAGGTCTCCTGGATGTGAAGTGTTCCAAAATGGCTCTCATGGCTGCTTTGCTCTGAGTTTTAATTTCCTCATAAGTGCATTATGTATCTTGCTGTTCTGTATCTTCTTCTTCTTCAGCATTCCGAGCCATTGAGGTTCATTGCTGTAGATATTACCCGCTTCCATTCATCTCTCTAGTTGGTCTTCTCTCTCCAGTTGATGACATCAAGTGTTTGCAGTCTGTCTGGATATTATCTTTCCATCGTCTTCTTGATCTGCCTCATGGTCTACGACCATTCATCTCCCTGGTGTATAAAGATTTTACTTCTCTGTTATCTGACATTCTTTCAGTTCTGTTCTGTATGCCTTAGAATTATGGCTTAGAAGTCTGCTCTTTCACAAGGCAAACAGACTATCCACATCTACAGCAAATACTGTAAGGTTAGGGAACAGTTATTCCAGTAGCACAGTGGTTGTACATTTCTTTTTCTTACATTCATACATCCCACACTTAATTCTACATGCAAACAATGCACAGTATACAATGAATTCCCTCCACAGCCTATTATGACTTTTCTAGTTTAATGTTTAGTCAGAACAACCTACAGAAATCTGGCTTCTCTAATGTCTTCTTCTTCTTCACGTTCACGGGCTGTTTACTTCTGGTGGAAGTTTTTTTGCATGCATGTCCATTTTACAGATCTGGCTTATTTATATATGCAGACTGTTGGTTTATTGCCTCTCAAGCAGATAGTCTCTGACTTCAAAGAAGTTCCTAATTAGTTGACTCTTATGACATGCTTGTTGGTGGGGTGGGGGCAGTAGGTATATTCTTGTTTTCCCCACAATGGGCTTTCTAAAGTAATTACTCCTCTGCATATTGCCATTTGGAAAGTAATTTATCCATGCTTTTCATCGTGGTTATTTCTTCACATTAGCACTTCCTGTGAAACTTTCTAGCACTGAGAGATTGCATATTCCCCTAGCAGTATTTCCAAAGAAAGTGGGCGATGCACTGTGGCAAACCTTCATTGTGGGGGTAGTACAATTTAATAAACTATCTTAGTAAGCCCCTGTTGAATTAAGAAAATGTAGGAAAAACATGTAATTAAAAAAATAATTAATAACAGATTGTTAATGAACAACCTTGAAGAACTGTTTCTAGGAACAGAACTGTTTTTGTTTTATCTACTGCTCGAGTGGAGATATACCCAGGCTCATTTTCAAAACCTTGTAGAGCTTTAAGCACCCTCAGAGCTATATCTTCCTCTGAGTCTGTTTCATGAACAGCAACACGAATGTCGTACCTGGAAGTAGAACAAATCATGAAGAATCAACAATAGGAACTAAGAGAATATGAAACTTAAAACCATTACTCTTTCTGTCTTAAACAAGATAGGAAGTGTGTAAACTTATGTCTGCGTGAAAAAATCAGTGTTTAGTGTGTTAATATATCCTTTATGATTAGTCTGACCATAATGAAGAAATCTGGCTAGATACATTTGATAGGCTCATATATTTCTTCTGTTATGGTTATTTTCAGCCATGGGTATCGTATGCAATAATACTGAAGTTGTCCCCATGTAAGATGCAACTTTTTGTTATTTGAAGCCCCAGCCCTTTCTGCTGCGGGGCCCTGAATATAGCCGGCTTAGATATGGCCTAGCCATAGATATGGTCTAACGGCTGAAAGGGGTTTCTGGGACCTCTCCATGGGTGATTCTCATCCTCATGGTAGCACTTTGTGTCACCAGGTGTTTATCGCTTGTATGATGACCTAGCTATGGGTATCTTCAGACACTTGCCTGCTGGTAGGAAGATTTGGTTAAAATATGCACTCAATGGATTCGGGAAAAAATGACCATGGCTCTCAGGTCAACCCAACCTAAAATAGGTACCAAGCAATATCTGGGGAGGCAAAAGTAGCCAACATGATGCTGACCACATCATCCATCAAGTGCTGACTGATCTATTCAAATTTAAATGATCATATACCTGGTGTGCTACTGGTGTAAATGGTCTTAGTTTACTTACTCACTTATGAGCATCTTCTGCTATTTCTTATAAGAGTGTTAAGGTTAATATACAAGCCAATTTCAGAAGCATGTATTCATACTTTTCCTTTAGAGTTAGCAAAGTAGGCCGAGAGAGGGTTTAGACTGCACTGGCAACATATGGTCTCTACAATACTTCCCAGAGGAAGAACTTCCTTCCTGGCTGTAAATGGTATCACCACTGGCTGTGATTCTCATGCCTCCATACAGCACAATGGAAAACTGTTGTACATTTGTACAACCAGCAAGTTACTAGAACAGACAGCATTTACACCTTAAAGACATTTGTTGTTCAAGATGGATTCGTATGGGTATGCCAGGTAGGCTGTGATATTGAGTCTGAAATCAGTAAATATGCTATGTGGAAAGAAGGAAAGTACCCTCAACAACAACAATTCTTATTTAAGTACTGCTATGTTGGGAGCTGCAGCAGAAAAGTGGTTAGAATGCCTGTATAATGATCATGTGATCAGATTCACTTTACATGATTTTATGGGGAGTAGCAGTTTACTGTTTGGCTATAACTGCTTCCCACATTGAGTGCTGACTGGTCCTTAAACATATGAGACCAGTACCATGGATAGGGAAAAAAATGTATGTGCACAAAACTTGCTCCATTGTTTTCCACACTAAAACACTGTATTTAGAGTTGAAATGCAGTCTTCCAAGACTTACTAACCAACCAAGTAATCAACCAACCATGAAATCAACCAATGACCCAACCAGTCAATCAATTAACCAACCAATCAACCAACTAGGTAATCTTCTTCTTCTTCTTCCCTCCCTTTTTTACCGCTGTGGGTGTCGAAGGAGATATAAGGTTCTGTTTCTGGCTCTTCTGGCTGCCTCGACCATAGGCACATCGTGCTGTTGTAGAGCTTCTCTGATGTTATCCTTCCATCTTGTTCTTGGTCTACCTCTTGCTCTACGTCCTACTTCTCTTTCCATGTATGCTTTCTTTGGTATGGTGTCACAAGGCATTCTCTCTAAGTGGGCAAACCATTTCACTTGCTGTCTTTGTATGTAATTTAGAATTGGTTCTGTGCCGACTTTTTCTCTTATGATCTAATTCCTGATCTTATCTCTTATGGTCACTCCTACGGCCCTTCTCAGACATCTCATTTCCATGGTTAACTAGGTAATCAACCAACCAAATAGTCATCATCAACCAAATAATCATAAAAAACCAAATAATCATCAAAAAAAAATCAAATAATCATCAAGCAAACCAAATAATCATCAAACCAACCAACCAGCAAATCAATCAGTTAACCAACCAATCAACTAACCAAGCAATCCCCAAGCAAGTAATCAACCAAGCAAGTAACCATCCAACAAACTAGCCAATCAATCAGTCAATTAACCAACCAGTCAACCAATCAAATAATCATGCAATGACCCAACCAATCAACCAACCAAGTAATCAACCAACCAACTAACCAAGCAATTTCCAATCAAGTAGTCAACCAAGCAAATAAACGTCAAATAAACCAATCAGCAATACAGTTAGTTAACCAAACGGTCAACTAACCAATCTATCATCCAAGCAAGGTAAATTACCAAGAACATCTTTTCTGTTATCTTTTTTCCCTGACAAAAATGATCTTAGTTACATGTTTAGTTACCATTTCAGTTTACCATTTCTCATAAAACTGGCGTCTGAACTGTAGAATATCTTCCAGGCTGGCACCTGGCCCCATGCCAATGATACGATCAACTTTCATTGCCTAGATAGAAACATGATTTTTTGCATCTATAACAATATAAATCATTTACTCTAAGCAATGTTTCCTCACTGTTAATATTAAAAAAAAAAGGTATGAACAACAGGTTGCACAGTTGATGGCATATTCCACTTCTACCCAGATATGTGCAAACCAAAAATAAAAATAAAAAATACAAATGAAAAATAATATTTGTCCCAGTAAAACAGGCAATTACATTTGAGTCTAGTTGATTCTTTATTTAAGTTGATGTGAATAATTTATTTGCTTTATTTTATTAAATTGTTACTGTTGTGTGCACTTAATTATATACAGCAAATTATGTCAGGCAACAAACGGTGTGGTTTGTTGTTTGTGTCTTCTTTGTTTAAATGATTTTTCTTCACATTTAAATTTTTCTCTTCTTCTCTTTAGTGTTTACTGGCTGTAGACTCTGGTGGAAAATACTGGTTGTTTATCCACTTCTCGACTTCAGTCGAGAACTTGAGTTATGTTTGCACATCCATTTTACAGATCTGGCTTATTTGTTTGCAGATTGTTGGTGCTTTGTCTCTCAGGTGATGCACTCTAACACTGAAGGAAACAAGGAAACACTCCGAATTAGTCACTATTGGCAACATATTTATTATGGGGCTGTAGGTCTATTCTTTGTCTCTCCAAAATGAGACCTTGTAACCCAAATGAGGAACATTATCTAAGTGTGGGAATTTTGTATAGAACGACTAGTAAAGAAAGATGTAATTTCTGAAAGAAGAGGTAAGAATTAAACAATATAGCAGTGAACACAGAAACATTGTCATCTACCATGCATGTCATGAGAGCCAGCTAAGGTGACCTGGTGTGACTTTCTACCCTTAGGAAACTTAAGCTGCAAAATTGAATCAATCTACAAAGAACTTGCCATAAAGTGGCTGATGGTATTTGCTCTTTTTGTAGGTGAAAGATAGAATGACAAAGCATCACCTTCTGTATCTGTGAGCTGTGTTAGAATTATAGTGAATGCACCACCTTACTGTATCCCTGATCTTTGCAAAAATGGCAGTTAATGCAATGGTGTACTGTATCCTTGAGCTTTAACTGTCATTCTGTGTCAGAAGGATGGTTAATACAACAGCTTACTGTATCTGTGAGCTGTGTTGGAATAACAGTTAATACAACAGCTTACTGTATCTGTGAGCTGTGTTGGAATAACAGTTATTACAACAGCTTACTGTATCTGTGAGCTGTGTTAGAATAACAGTTAATACAACAGCTTACTCTATCTTTGAACTGTGTTAGAATAACAGTTAATACAATAGCTTACTGTATCTGTTAGCTGTGTTAGAATAACAGTTAAAGCATCACCCACTCTATCTTTGAACTGTGTTAGAATATCAGTTAATACAACAGCTTACTCTATCTTTGAACTGTGTTAGAATAACAGTTAATACAACAGCTCACTGTATCTGTGAGCTGTGTTAGAATAACAGTTAAAGCATCACCCACTCTATCTTTGAACTGTGTTAGAATAACAGTTAATACAACAGCTTACTTATCTGTGAGCTGTGTTAGAATAACAGTTAATACAACAGCTTACTTATCTGTGAGCTGTGTTAGAATAACAGTTGAAGCATCACCCACTCTATCTTTGAACTGTGTTAGAATAACAGTTAATACAACAGCTTACTGTATCTGTGAGCTGTGTTAGAATAACAGTTAATACAACAGCTTACTGTATCTGTGAGCTGTGTTAGAATGATAATTAAAGCATCACCTAGTGTCTTTGAGCTGTGTGAAAATGACAAACAGTACATCATCTTACTAGATATATAAGATGTATACTGATCGCGGTTACCTATTTGTAGTATATACCATACATGTAGGAGATTTGGTAATAAATGGTTAGAACATTATTTTACCAACATGGTGTTTTCATTTCCATCAATGACGTAGTTTGACTGAATCCCTCCAGCTTTCTTGGTTCATAAAAAGAAGAACTACACTATATTACACTTCTTCTTTTCTCTGCTGCTGAAATGTCTCACAGTGTCAGGACAGGAAGAAATCTTTGGACTGGGACCTTCTGTTCATCTCATATGTAGTACTTTTCAGTGTCTACGATATTTCTGCTGTCCATCTTCTGTGTGGTCGACCTCTGAATCTACTTGCCACACCATCTTGACTGGAATTACACTACAACCTAGAATAGGTAAAATTCCAACAAGTTACCATATTTAAATATATTTCAAATTTTCTGAAAAATAAGAGATCAATAGTAAAACAGAAATGCATATCCTATCAAAAACATTGATTAACATTCTAAGATTCACAAAGAAGCTGTCATTGTTCATCACAAAAACTATAAATACCTTCTGTCTTTTAATGATGGTATCATTGTTTGCATCAAGGTAAACAATAATGCCAGACTTTGCCATCTTGGCCATTGAATCACAATGCAAAGGGTTGGAGCCAGTCAGAGACACCACAGAATTGTCGACATTTAGATCCAACAGCGCTCTCCCTTCTTCTTCAACAAATCTTTTCTCCCCAATTTGTTTTAACTGGATTAGTTGGATAAGAAATGTTGACATTCTATGTTAATTTATTTGTCAATATAAATTATCTTGAATGTTTTACTACATATCACACAAAACTACTGGCAAAAGGAGACCTAGAAGAAGATGGATTGAAGGAGTCAGTTACTGCTGGAGACCTCACAACATTTCATCATTCCAAGAACTGAGTGTGTCCTAGCTTGAATTGTGACATCTGCCACCACAAAGCATTGATGCTCCCTCCCCCCTTCCTTAAGAAAAGAGGCAGATATTCACACAAATCACTCAAGTTTAGTGGTCAAGTGTTCCAATCCTCTTCAAGGTAAGGATGTTTTTTTTCCATGACCTGGGCTTTTTGACAGATGCAGCTTAAAAAATGATACCTAGAAATTTCTGGAGTGTAAAAGTGTTTTCCCTTATAAGTAAAAGTATTGCATAGTGGGCACTCCTTCAAACAGTCACCCTGTAGGTATGCAGTCTATTGTAACTTGATATAACTACTGACCGTAGGGGAGGTGATCCATTCTTTGTATAAGTTCACATAATAATAACATTCCTTCACATTTAATACTGTTTGAAATTAGGCTTATGGTTGGGGTTAGTTTTAGTGTTAGAGTTAGGGATAACCCTAATGCAAACCCTAACTTGAAGTAATATTAAATATTACAGAACATCATTATGTGTATGTATCTAAATGATGGATTGTCTCCCTTATGGTCACCAAAAACAAACAGAGACTGCATTTCCCAAGGATTGCCGTTCAGAGGAGTGCCGCTTACTATGTTGTAGTTTAGGGCTAAGCTGTGACATAAGCACCTTTTGACCCAACCCAGCACAACTGATTTCAGCATATACTTAATTAGTTACTCATTGGAACATACTTGTTAAGGAATAGTGGGTAATGTCCTTTTTTTTCTTTTTTAAATTCTCTCAAGGGTAAAAGGGTAAGGAATTTGTTTTTTTTTCAAAATCCCACATCTAATAGACTTATTTGTCTGCTGTTAGTTCTCTAGCTCTTTCAGTCCCGAGGAATGCATCATACATTCTTAGGTTCTCACCTAGAAGTCCAATGAACACAAGATGTGGCAGTTATATGCTTATTTTTACCACCCTTGAAACTCTAATGCTAAAGCCCATGGGACTGAAAGAGTTAGTGAAGCACAGGCCCTCAACTGACTGTTACTCCTTGGCAGTTGAAAGTCAGAAAAGAGTAGGCTAACGGCTCTGCCCAGGCAAAATTTTGGAGTTCAAAATCTACCCAAAGTATTTCAGGATCCTTGCCAATACTAGGGAGTTCGTGCACTGCCCCGAGATTCTACAGACTCACGCTTGAGAAGTAGAACAGTGCACTTACGGGTTACACCTGTGTGCCATGATGCTGATCCATTGAATAAACCAATATCCTTGCCCCTAGTGGAGCTCACTCCTTGACCTCCCAAATGTATTTACTATTACCTTTAACTCTTTTTCTCCTTGCAGTTTTGGGTTTCTCTTTATTTCTTTGTCAAATTATAGACTGCTAATGACAAAATATTGAATGACAAATTGTAACAAATTATTCCTTAAATGTCCTTTTATCATTTACACTGTATATAAGTTTGTTTTTTTCAATTTTTCTTTTTCCACACCAGTTGACAGGGAAAATGTAAATATGTTTTTTTAATTAGCCACAATGGAGGATGACTGCAGTAGGGACTGTTAGGAAGATGAAGTCCCAATTTTTCTCTTTCCTCAGATAAACTTTAGCATTGCTATTCCTTTACAGACTAGAAACAATTTTATGGAATTATTTACTTCAATTATAAATTATACTGAAGTACTAAAATTTAAGTATATACATAACAGATAAAACAAATGTGCAAGTTAAAAATGTGTGAATTATTATGAAAATACAAGTACAAATACATGGTAAATACACTCACACAAATCACCACAGTTTAATAGCCCATTTTAAAAAAATTAAATAATTATACCATAAAAACCTCCAATCAGTCAGTCCTTCTACTACTGCCAAAACTGTACCGCCCAAAAATGTTGCTGCTCTGTGGAAGTGCATAAGTTGAATATACTTAGAAAGGGCACTGGATGAGTGCATCAAATGCTATCTCAAAGCCAGGTGTCAATTTGTGTCTACACTGCAACTCTTGTACCGCTGCCTGAAGGTCACATGGAAAGTCTTTTTCTAAATCGTCAGCAGCAGAAATCAAACGCTTGTATGTCAAGGATTATATTGTGAAACAATTTCACCATCTTCTAAACTGCTGAGGTGTACTTATTGTAGACAGCATTTGATTGACTTTAATCCAGTGTTGTAAAATTACAAACCTTAGCTAATGTAACATATGCTACTCAGAAGTTATAAGATCTGATATACATGGTGGGAGGGATCATTGTTTCTGACAGATGAAATACTGCAGTAATATTCATTTTATTTCTCCATTTAGTTTCTATTACTGATATATTGCCTGTACTTCTGGCTCTTCATTGTAATGTGCAGCACCTTAATCGCTTAACAGCAATGTAGCGCGCTACATTACTGCTGAACTACCATTGCTCTCGTGAAAGAGAATTATAATCATTAGTATCAACAGGTGCCTTGCCAACTGCCTGGGTGATCAGGCCACACCACAACCTGTGATCTCGGACAGCTCTTATCAGTTCATGTGCTGACACATTATTTAAATTATAATTTAATTATTCTCATTCTTGAAAAATAAATTCAGTTCCTACTTCATGATTTAGCTTCTTGAACACACTTCTGTAACTCCTACCTTATCAGCCACACTCATTCCCCACATCGGCTCTAGATGATTGTCATCTATATCCACTAAATTCTTTCCTAAAGCTTGAGCCACAATTCTTCCTGTGGTGGTTTTCCCTGACCCTGGGTTCCCCATGAGGATAATGTTTCCCTGAGGTAGAAGAAGTTGAATATTATAATAATTTAAAAAATAAATTAATATAGTTTTATATTAAGTAGATTACGATAAACAAATTAATGTTCTATATATATGTATTAGTCATGACAAACAGGTTAATGTTCTTTTATATGTAGTGGATTATGGCAAACAAATTAATTTTTCTGTTATGTTTAGTAGATTATGACAAAAAATTAATGAGCTTTTATGTGCAGTAGATTATGAAAAACAAAATAATATTCCTTTCTATGCAGTAGATTGTGACAAACAAGTTAATTTTATTTTATGTGTAGTAAATTATGACAAATGAATAATTTTCTTTTATGTGTAGTAGATTATGACAAACAAATTAATGTTCCTTTCTATGCAGTAGATTGTGACAAACAAGTTAATTTTTTTTAATGTGTAGTAGATTATAACAGAAAAATTAACAAGCTTTTATGTGTAGTAGATTATAACAAACAAATTAACAAGCTTTTATGTGTAGTAGATTATAACAAAAAAATTAACAAGCTTTTATGTGTAGTAGATTATAACAAAAAAATTAACAAGCTTTTATGTGTAGTAGATTATGACAAACAAATTAATGTTCCTTTCTATGCAGTAGATTGTGACAAACAAGTTAACAAGCTTTTATGTTTAGTAGATTATAACAAACAAATTAACAAGCTTTTATGTGTAGTAGATTATAACAAACAAATTAACAAGCTTTTATGTGTAGTAGATTATAACAAACAAATTAACAAGCTTTTATGTGTAGTAGATAATAACAAACAAATTAACAAGCTTTTATGTGTAGAAGATTATTAGAAAAAAATCAACAAGCTTTTATGTGTAGAAGATTATGACAAACAAATTAACAAGCTTTTATGTGTAGAAGATTATGACAAACAAATTAACAAGCTTTTATGTGTAGTAGATTATAACAAAAAAATTAACAAGCTTTTATGTGTTGTAGATTATGACAAACAAATTAACAAGCTTTTATGTGTAGTAGATTATAACAAACAAATTAACAAGCTTTAATTTGTAGTAGATTATAACAAACAAAATAACAAGCTTTTATGTGTAGTAGATTATAACAAAAAAATTAACAAGCTTTTATGTGTAGTAGATTATGACAAACAAATTAACAAGCTTTTATGTGTAGTAGATTATAACAAACAAATTAACAAGCTTTAATTTGAAGTAGATTATTACAAACAAATTAACAAGCTTTTATGTGTAGTAGATTATAACAAACAAATCAACAATCTTTTATGTGTAGAAGATTATGACAAACAAATTAACAAGCTTTTATGTGTAGTAGATTATAACAAACAAATTAACAAGCTTTTATGTGTAGTAGATTATGACAAAAAAATTAACAAGCTTTTATGTGTAGTAGATTATAACAAACAAATTAACAAGCTTTAATTTGTAGTAGATTATAACAAACAAATCAACAAGCTTTTATGTGTAGAAGATTATGACAAACAAATTAACAAGCTTTTATGTGTAGTAGATTATAACAAAAAAATTAACAAGCTTTTATGTGTAGTAGATTATAACAAACAAATTAACAAGCTTTAATTTGTAGTAGATTATAACAAACAAATTAACAAGCTTTTATGTGTAGTAGATTATAACAAACAAATCAACAAGCTTTTATGTGTAGAAGATTATGACAAACAAATTAACAAGCTTTAATTTGTAGTAGATTATGACAAACAAATTAACAAGCTTTCATGTGTAGAAGATTATAACACACACACAAAATGTATGTTCATCTATGTGTTGTAGATCAGTTCACAAGTACAATTATTTTGGAATTTCTGAGATCATTGCTGGAGCTAAAGACTTTCTGCCTCATGTAACACTCTCAGCAAGTGGTTAGCCATTCAGAAGTGTGAAACTGAGCCATATGAGGTTGATCCACTTTAACTTTTAACTGTATTCAGTCTCTGCTGCAAACTGTCTGCTACTGAAAATGTAGGTAGTGAGGTCATCAGTTTTATTTATCACCATTTGCCATGACCCAGCCAATAGCAAGTAAGCCTCTACTTCTAAAGTTCAACTGTTGAAAATATTCTGGTTTTTAAAGCTAGAGAACTCACATTATTTAACAACCTTATTTAGATACTACCATTGCTAAGTGACAGACAAAAATACCATCTAAAATTTTTACCTTTCCATTTAACTTGTTCCATGAACTCCAGGTTTTGGATGCTTTCTCATGCAGGTTGCGACAAAAAAGAAGACACCATTTATGTGAATGTACTTGACCTGTCCACAAATGGTAACTTGCAAGTGTTCTCAAAAGGGCAGACATAACCACCAATGTGTTGTACAAGCAGTCCTATGTGCAATAAAAATAAACTTGAATGGGTAAACTTAAAATTTAAATCAGTGAAGTTTAACATTTATATAATCTTTTTATTATATCAAAGCCATATGGCACTGGTTATTATGTCTGTCTCAATCAGTTAGATGCCATCTCTGCAGTGATAGTTTGCTGCAATGGATTTCCAACTCATTCTATCACCTTGGATGTACATTTTCTAAAACTGCTGTTCATTTATATCTTGATGTTATTCTCCCACTTGTATCTATGTCCACCTTTTGCTCCCTTGCTATCAACCCTTCCCTCCAGTATGGTTTTTATAAGGTATTGTCTTTTAAAATGGCCAGAATATTTAACTTGTATCTTTTTTTATTTCATCCAGCAACTTCTTTTAATTCCTAGATTCTGTATCTGATTGTTATTTCCATCAAAGACAACATATTCTTCTGTATATCCTCATCTCTAGAGACAGTTGAGTTTTCAAAATGCTTGTTCATTGTCCTGGTTTTTGCACCATCACAGCAGGGATGAGCATACATAACATTTCAAAATTATCATTGTTTATATGATGTTTATCTCTCTTGATGTCATTAATAATGAATATTTTTTTGGGGGGTTGCCATTCCTATTCTCTTTTTGACTTCTTATTTTTTTCAAATCTGTTATCATGTTTGTCTATAACCTTCTATAACTTGTACTGTCAGTTAATTGTTATACAGCTGTCCTGCCAGGCCATAATAATTACATGTCCAGCTTCCCAGTGTGTGTGTCATGCCCGACCTTCCCTACCCTCCACCTTTTTCTTATTAAGCTGTGCTCTAGTGTTCTTTCTTTTCTTGATGTGCTCAGTTAAGCAGATTGCTTTTTCTGATGTAGGCAACTAGTTCTCTTTGTAAGTTAATTCCTTCAAAAAATCTTGCATTTTTTTAAAAATCTATCCATGGCATACTCATCATTTAATAAATTCACATCTCTACAGATTTCATTTATCACCAAAATGCTGATTAGCCATGCTTATCTGCAGAAGTTCTGTCTATAATTTATATTTAGCTCAAGTAAACTGTTTGCCTCATGCTCTGAAGTCCTTGGGTTCACTAAGCAGACGCTTCATTCATTTCGTGAGTGCAGTTTTTATCAAGAACATTGAGGATCATCAATGAAACTTTGTACTTTGTGTGATGATCTCAGCAAGTGGCTAACTGTTCTTCAGAGAGAGAAAGACCAAAGCATATGAGAATACTCGATGTAATGATGTTGATCTTCCCAACTTTGTCATTTGTTTGTTTGCATTCACTGGCACAACTCCGGCAGAGTCATGGTTGGACATTCATTTTGAACTTTGGCTTTGTTCCAAGAGTTTGATGTGCTTGTTCATCCATGTTACAGAACCGATGTCAGCCAAGCCAGATCGCAGCCTGACATTTCTTTGTCTGTCAAGTAGATGCACTCGGACTCCAAACATTACCTGAAATAAAATCTGATTCATTCTTTCATTTCTCCCCATAATAAAACTAACCCACAACTGAGGCTGGCTACAGTGTATCCAGTAATCAGTAGCTTAGAGGTTAGTGAAGGCTTTTCACAATTTCATGATCCTTGAGTAGCATGGTTCATTATTGTGGTGGATGGTATATGAAACAAACAAAAAACAAGAAAAGAAAAACATTCTAGTGGTTTTTAGTGGACAGTGATATGGAGGACATGCTGTGGAAGAGATTGGGGCCTCACCGCAGGATATTCCTAAAGACAGCACTGTGTACTCTGTAGCCAGCCTGAACTGTGGAGATGTCATAAAATTCAATAAAAGTTGTCCATTGTTTGCTAACTGTGAATTCTCCTAAAGACCGTTTTCACTTGTAAATCCAATGCATCAATGCAATGTTCATTTGGCTCATGAAAACGCTGACATCTATCAAAGTGAGTTTAATAATGACTCCCCCCCCCCTCCCCCTCCCCCCACACCCTTTTACAAGGTATCAAAGCACTATCTCCAAGACAACTATGCTGCAGTTTTCCAAGCTCAAAAACCTACTGTGTGTACGAGAGAAGCATTGAACTCCACAACTGGAAGAGACATGTTTGGATGTCTCTACAGACATCATAACAGCATTATGAGCCCCTGGGAAAACCAGTGTGCTGGGGTCCCAACAACCACTCACACGAATGAAATTCTATTTATGGAAAGTCACGTGACATTCCCCCCAAAATTACCTTTGCTCCCGGGTTGACCCAGCCTTAAATGGGTACTAGGTAAAGTCCTGGGCAGTAAAGGTGGTCAGAGTGATGTTCACCACAAGGCTGTAACAAACTGTTTGCACCAGTGAACCTCAAAGGTTTGGAGTGGTGAAGAAGAAAGGAAAATTGTGATAACTAGTAATGTAGAACTTGCATTAACTGTAAATAAAAAAAAGTAACTAACTTTACTATCTGATGTTATGAAATCTGAAATATTACATTTAACTGTACAGTCCACTTCAGTAATGAATAAATACAATATTAATGTACATTAATTCAGAATTTTTATTTCTACTATTGAACAATTCAGTAGACGCTATACATGACCGTATTTCAGTCATAGACAAAACAACAACTACAACCCTAGTTGCAGTAAATTACCTTACACGGCGGTGAGCACGACACAGTTATGTCGGGTTATACTGAAGACACAAGAACACAGTGTGTATGGTTGCACTGGACTCTAGGTCTGATCTCTGCCATCTGGGTCATTGTCTAGTTGAAACTAGGTCATGGTATCATGCAGCTGTCTATTACAGTATTGATAATTTAATAATAAAATAGGAGAAACTTTATGTAGACAACGTATGCCTTTTCTACTCTCTCCCCCTCTCTCTCTCTCTCTCTCTAGCGCATCTTCTATCTACTACTACTACTACTACTACTACTACTACTACTACTACTACTACTACTACTACTACTACTACTACTACTACTACTACTACTACTACCACTAATACTACTGCTGTTGCTACTACTACTGCTGCTCCTGATACTACGTCTACTGTTGCTACTACTGCTGCTGCTGCTACTACAACTACTTGTTTGCTACTGTTATTACTACTTTTAGTACTAATGTGTCATCTCCACCCCTGCACCCTCAATTCCCCCAGACATCCACGCTTCCCAAAACAAGCAAAGGTAGTAAACATGCAAAGTACCATGTATCGTAATAGGCAAATAAGAAGGGTTGGTGGGGAAAATTACTGCTGCACCATCTAGCCAATAATAAACAAGGAAACTGCTCCCAATATTAGGCTCGTCCACCGGGTGAGTGTTGGGTATATCCTTACGTCCCTTTTAGACGAAATTTTGTGTTCTTTAAAGCCCCACCCTGGCTTTTGCCAGGGACCGCAATATAGGCAGGCCATAAATGTGGCCAATTGTCTGAACGCGGTTTCTGGGACTGGGGTAGAAAGTCAGTCAGTCAGTGTTGGGTGGAGGTGTCCACTAGGTTATACATTGAATAATCGGCTGTGGAAAAGACATGTGGTGGTCTTTGAGAGGAGGCGCGTTCTTTGGTGGGACAGCTAACTCCTTATCATTTTTGAAAGTTGCTTTAAATTCCCTGGACAGTAATAATGAGTAAACCAGATGTGAAGGAAACGAGGATCCGAAGACAACATATAACAAATATCGATAAATTCTTTTTCTTCTTTGTTCACCGGCTGTGAGCTCCGGCGGAAAGTCCTGGTCGTTCATCCATGTAGAATTTGATGACTTTGTGCCAGGACTTGAGTTTTGCGTGTGCATCTGTTTGGATGTAGTTCGCTGTCCTTTGCCGCTCGAGCAGATGCACTCCGACTTCGAAGGAAACTGCCAATTAGTCGACTAGTAGGCATACGATATGATTATTTTTAAAGGCATTGGGTCTGTCTATTCTTGTTTTCCCCACAATGGTGCCATGGGACCCACACAGAGAATATCGGAGACAGGGAGTCATCTTGGGGAGTGGGGTGGGGGAATTCTACGTTAGGAGAAGAAAGAAACTAAACAATTTTGTGACGACTAGAATAATTTCTAGGAAGACAGGCTGAGGAACATGCCCGTGAAACTAAGACAGTAGTAGTAGCAGTAGTAGTAGTAGTAGTAGTAGTAGTAGTAGTAGTAATAGTAGTAGTAGAGAGAGATATATCATTGTGACAAACTGTAGCTTTTTCAATACAGTGTAACAGATTAAAATCTCAGTGATTACTTAGTTTTTTTTTTTTATATAAACAAGGAAATTATGTTATAATCAGTCAGATTTATCGTTCTCGTTAAAGAAAAAAAAATATTCTATAGTTTTGCAAGGATATTATTATATTTTGTTTGATTACAGAAGGTATATTTCAAGCCAAGGAATAAACTCGAGAACTTGGTGACAGAGGGAGAGCGAAGAGATCAATACCTTGGGTACAGCAGGGGAAGAGCAGCAACTTATCCGTCATTGCGTTGATCGTTTAGGACGATGAATGATAACCGATAACCGCTTATCTTTTTCATCCTGACACATAATGATGGACATATGCCCAGAAGAGAGAGAGAGAGAGAGGGAGAGAGAGAGAGAGAGAGAGAGAGAGAGAAGTTGGGGGGGGGGGCGCTGAGCGATGTTTTCACTGAAAAGGAGCCGGTGGCCAGACAGTTTGGAAAACATTGCGTTAGATATTTAAAATTTTGCTTGCAACCGGCCATCCTAGGAATTTATCTTGAGATAAGCATTGTGCACACTCAATCGGAATCAGCAGGCATGTTCCAGTTTTCCCTGTCTAGCCGTGGAAAATAAAATTAAAAAAAAAATAAAAATTACACACACATACACGCGCGTCCACACATATAGGAATGCAAGGCAATGAATCTGTCACGTGCAAGGCCCTAGTACTTCCTTATGTTGCCAACAGTACGTCTTGTTTTAGCACCGCATTTGGAGAACACGTCATCATTATCGTCAAATATCTTGCCGACTTTTGGGAATGATCATCTTTCTTCACATCTTGCTGTCTGCAACAGTGTGAATCAAT